TTTCTTGGTCTTTAGCCTAAGATCAAGTGCAAAACTCAATAGTGAGAAGTCAATTATTTGAATAATCGCAATACAGTCTTAATAAAGAATGATAGCAGGTATTTGGCATAGAAAAAGAAATAAGTATTTTTGAGGTTTTGAGGAGTTTCTGAGGTTTAGTGAAAAGTCTATTCACTAAAAGCTTGCATATTTCCCCCCAAAAAACTGTCATAGTACAAAGCAATATGAACAAATTATTTTATTTTGGATAATGAACTATTTCCAAAAAGCCTATGTACAGTTTGGTATTACTGGGAAAAGACTGATGCCTTAACATTATTATATTGACATGGATTAATGCATTCTATTACTCAAGATATATATCTTCAGGTGTGATGAAAATTTGAGGGCTAGTAATGGAGTACAGCCTATCAACTTCAGCTCAAATGGGAACATATATTAAGCAGGATGAGAAAGTAGATGGGCATTGCGAGGGCATGCACTAAGAGTGATTAAAGCTTGCCCCAAATCAGACTTCTTAAGGACAGGGTGACAGACAGAGGCTGAAATGTAACAAGCCAAGCCTCAGCCTGAGCCTGCTGCATTGGACAACAACATCCCTTTTAGGCACTGGTTCCTGCCCATGTGCTCCACGTCTGATCCAGCCACCTGCTTCTGGTCTGGGAAGGCAACAGAGACCAAAACCTTGAGCCCTTGTACCCACGAAGGAGACAAAGAGGAAGCTCCTGGCTACTGGCTTCAGACAGGCTTAACTCCAGCCATTACAATCTTTGGGAGTGAACCATTGGATAGAAGAACTTTCTGTCTTTCCTTCTCTCCGTAAATCTACCTTTCAGACAAAATAAATAATAAAAAAACAGGGTTATTACTAATGGTTTCTCCTAAAATTAGATCACTAATTAGTCAATCAACAGATTTTTATTAGGTATATTTTTCCTACTTTGTGGTTTTATAAATCAAAACAACCCCCCCTCCATTTTTCTAAGATGGGCATATTTCTTCACATCCTCTTGCCAGGAATACATAGAGGAAATGCAGAAAGGAAAAAGCTATTGGGAATTGGCCTGCTTACGTAACTGGCAGCTCTCCTTCCTACTGTCTCCTATGTAAGATTGCCTTGGTTTCTTTACCATGTTTATGTCTTCTCTGTTCTCTTTTCACAGCATTAATTTCTCCTCTCCTTACAAAATAGCTCGTGCTAGGTCTGGTGCAATGGCTCAGTGGATAAATCCTTGCCTTGCAAGAGCTGGAAACCCCATATGGGCACTGGTTCATGTCCCAGCTGCTCCACTTCCCATCCAGCTCCCCGCCTAAGAAAGCAGCAGAGGACTGCCCAAAGCCTTCAGACCCTGCACGCATGTGGGAGACATAGAAGAAGCTCCTTGCTGCTGGCTTTGGATTTGGTTCAGCTTGGCCATTGTAGCCACCTTGGGAGTGAACCAGCAGATGGAAGATTTTTCTATCTCTCCTTCTCTCTGTAAATCTGCCTTTCCAATAAAACTTTCAAAATTAGGGTTGTGGGAGGGGCGGGAGAAATCCCAGTGCCTATCAAACTGTATCACATAATACAATGTTATTAACAATAAAAAAAAATTTTTTTTAAAAAGATGGCTGGTGCTATCTCATCTAATCTTAAATTTCAGTTTTCTTTCCATACCTGTTTTATGCAGTTGAAGAAAACAATCGAATCTTCTAAAAGTAAAAGAAAGGACACATAATGACTCAGCATCATCAAGTAGCAATAAAATTTGAGGCAACAATTGGGCTCAAAAATCCTTCCCCAGTTTTGTTTATCTTCACTACTCAACAATGAAACAAAGAACAATCACTTTCACATCACACTCATACAGCACATTTTTCAAATGGTAATTATAATTTAACTATTACAAATATTCACAGTATTTCTTCAAACTGACAAAAACAATGTAGACAGTTCCTTGAAAGAGATGTTTATTGCTAATGAAAACTTTCACAATTATATACAGAAGAAATGTGGCTCAATATGCATGAAGACTTTAAAAGTTTTATTTCTAATTAGCTAGTATTAGACCAGAAATTTTGCAGAAAATATACAGTAACATGAATTTATTTGATCCATACCTTGGAAATTTTTATTACAAACAACATTACAAACACAAATTTTTCATTATACATGCTCCATATTGAACAAATATTAAAGTGTGTATATTGTTCAAGAATCATCACATAAATCTGATATACAATTATGTCTGCTTTCTTTGTGACAACCATTTACCTTCTACATATTTCTATAAACACTAAAAATAGCAATTCAACACTTGAGAATTTTTTTAAAGATTTATTTTTATTGCAAAGTCAGATATACAGAGAGGAAGAGAGACAGAGAGGAAGACCTTGCAACCAATGATTCACTCCCTAAGTGATCGCAATAGCTGGTGCTGTGCCGATTCAAAGCCAGGAGCCAGGAACTTCCTCCAGGTCTCCCACATGGGTGCAGGGTCCCAAGGCTTTCGGCCATCCTCAACTGCTTTCCTAGGCCACAAGCTGGGAGCTGGATGGGAAGTGGAGCTGCCAGGATTAGTACCGGCGCCCATATGGGTTCCCAGCATGTTCAAGGCAAGGACTTTAGCTGCCAGGCCACCATGCTGGGCCCAAGAATTTTTTTAAAAAAGAATGAGCAATCCTTTAATCTGGAGTGTAGCAATAGCCATGCAATTCAGGGTTTAAGTAATGTAGAGTTCACAAAATAGATGAGTCAAGGAAGTTTCCTAAGCAAATTTTTTACTTCATGAATTACATTATTATATTTTCCCATCTTCTTATCTCTAGTCAGGCCCCTGGTGGAAATTAATGCAAACAAGGACTTCAGTACTATGACCATCCCATCACCTTTCCTGCATTTATTGCCCACATGGGAGAAGAATGAACCAGAATCCTGACTCATTGCAGCTGAACTGTAAATGAGGAAGGACAGCCCCACCCTTGCCTATTGGGAATTGTCAGAAGCATTTGGGGAAATAGAGTGGCCTATATTTTTGTTGGCTAAAACATCTCAATTTTGTAAAGATAAGTTGTTCTCCTAAATCAGCTGTTTCCTTATTAAATAAATATGTTGTTTTATCTTCCCATTGCAAAATGAAGATTCAAATCAAGAACACACAAACGTTAAAGTACCCATTGTTGAAAATATCAGCATGACCCAAAAATACACTGCCAAAAAATCATGAAATGGGAGGCAAACTTACAAAATAAACATGAAAATCTTTAACTAGTTCATGTATTATATTTGAGTCAATATATTTTTAGAGTCTACAAAGAATATCTGTGCATTTTCCATCAATTTGTCAAGAGTAATACTGTATGACAAAGAAAACAGAGGCAGCTTGGATAAAGAGCCAATCAAGATGACCAGTTACTAAAGAATTTAAAATAGAGGTGAGAAAAAAACTATAATCAGATAAAAATCTTCACTTGGTGTATTATTTTAGTAAATGGCCCCCTAGATCACATAAATGTAAAAAGAAAAAAAAATCCTTAAACACTGCAACGATGGGAATGGAATCCTATTTAGCAGCTAACTTTGCCTTTATCCAAAGCCCATTAAAATTAATCATATATGCATCTCAACTACAAAGGTTACATCTACAAAGCTTCACAGTACCTTATTACTATAAAAGGTATCTACCACACACTTTTAGTACTAACTTTATCTTATGGCTTTCAAACGAAGTGATAGTCTTATTGAATATTATATTGCAAGGTTCAGGGGAATGTTCTAACATTCAGAACATTACATTTCTCAATCAGCCTTAATTTAAAACTGTTCAATGAATACACATCACCAAATTACCTTGGTGAGAGTTCTTCTTAAAGGATCTCTAGTGGCTGCTTTCCTGTCAGCCTGACAGCTTTGTTGGTTCTTTATTTGTACACAAGTGGATCTTCACTACTTCAGTTCTTCAATCTTTACCATTATAGTTCAGCTACCCCTGATTTTTTTCTGGGTTTTTTTTTTTTTCAGTTATTTTCCTGATGCTTTAGGAATTTCCTCACTCTTCGTTTTGAGTAGTATGAGGCATGTAAAGGTAAAGGTAAGCAATTTGTTTTTGCAAGAAAAGGTCATGTCAGGCCCGGCAGTGTGGAAAGTCCTTGCCTTGAACATCCAAGATCCCATATGGGCGCCGGTTCTAATCCCGGCAGCTCCACTTCCCATCCAGCTCCCTGCTTGTAGCCTGGGAAAGCAGTTGAGGACGGCTCAAAGCCTAGGGACCCTGTACCCATGTGGGAGACCCGGAGGAGGTTCCTGGTTCCCAGCTTTGGATCGGCATCAGCACCAGCCATTGCACTCACTTGGGGAGTGAATCAATGGAAGGAAGATCTTCCTCTCTGTCTCTCCTCCTCTCTGTATATCTGACTTTGTAATAAAAATAAATAAATCTAAAAAAAAAAAAAAGGTCATGTAAAAAGAAATCAGACATGGTGACATGTGTCAGAATTCCAAAATTGCCCATTTCATCGTTTGGCTCCAGGAAAACAACAATTCTCCTTTGCCACAGCTGTGTTTCTAAGTGTACCATATGATTATCTGCTATAGAAAATGTTTATATCCAACCAGAATTCTTTCAGAAAGCCTCCATTCAGAAGATTGCATTCTAGGGTTAATTTAAGACAAAAGATAGTTTGGCCAACACAAAAAAGTTTAGGAAAGCAGTTTAAAAATCATAAGCAGAAATTTGGGCCTGTCTTGATAGAGTAGTGGTTAGGGTCCTTGCCTTGAACACACCAGGATCCCATATGGGTGCCGGTTCTGGTCCCAATGACTCCACTTCCCATCCAGCTCCCTGCTTGTGGCCCGGGAACGCAGTTGAGGATGGCCCAAAGCCTTGAGACCCTGCACCCATGTGGGAGACCTGAAAGAGTTCCTGGCTCCTGGCTTCAGATTGGCTCAGCTCCGGCCATTGCAGTCACTTGAGGAGTGAACCATCAGATGGAAGATCTTCCTCTCTGTCTCTCCTCCTCTCTGTATATCTGACTTTGTAATAAAAAAAATCATAAGCAGAATCTTTGGAATATCTACAAATAAAGTGTTTAGTAGTGGCAAACATTATTAACATTTGGCGGTCTAAAGAAAATTGTCAATTATTTTTCAAACGGGTCAATATAAAAGGTCTCCAAAAGTGGCTTGACTATGTTGAACCTATAAACGACTCACTATGTGAGTTGCGAATAAAAGGAATACTGAGATAAGGAGTTACCTACCTACACACATGTGCACACATGCACACACACATTTGCTCAGGTGGTTTGCTGAATGATGATTAGATGTCTTCAACACTTTCACTGTCTTTCATGTGGCCTGTACCCAGCAAATGGAAGAGCTTTCTGTCTCTCCTTTCTTTATAAATCTTTCAAATAAAAATTTTAAAAATCTTTAAAAAAAAAACACTAGGTAAAATTTTCACTTTCAGTCAAAATGAATGCAAGGTGTAAATGGTTCCTATTTACGTCATTCTTGAAGATTTTAACTGCAACAAATGTCTTTATTTTGTGTAAGAATTGATTAGATAGGTGGTCTAACAAAAAGAATAAGCCACACAAATGATCTAAATTATTTGAGTTAATTTATACTATTTGATATTTCCCACATTAGTACTCCAGGTGTTAGAAAAATTCAGGATTTGCCAAAAAAAAATAAGTTAGTGCTCACTCAGCACCCTGTCAATCAGCAAAGTAAGAATTCTCAGCACTGTGGCATTGAACCACTCCTCCCAGCCCAGGTGACTACAGTTGTAATCTAAGTAAATCTCCCAAACTACACAAATGAGCGTATTTCCAAAAGTTCACGCAAATGCATGTTATCAAAAAAAAAACTATGCCTAGCCTTCAAAAATTTTTGCACTAAAACATCTTTTAATTCCACTTTATATAACCTTTTAAAAAGTCTTTATATGTATTACTATTGAGAGCTTGAAAAAACAATACCAACCTACTTAACAATAATGTAGTCTTCACCATTGTGCTCAGGAAATTCAAAATCTTAATAGTAAAAAATGTAGCCTAATTCCATAATACAGCAATCAAAAACTTCCTGGGTGTTAGATTTTAAAAACAAAACTTAAACATCTATACAGCTAAAAATCTGGCTACGTAAACTACATTAAGACTGCTTCAAAGGCTTCCCCCATCCCAGCTGACAATAAGTAATAATACAGTGAAATGTTGGCTTACTACTAATTCTCCTTCATCAGCTCACCTTATTTTCCTGCTGGACAAGCGGAGGCACAGTTCTGAGACACCCGTAGAGACTCAGACGCCAACAACGAATGCAACCAGAGTGCCAGGATCTGCTTTCTCTTTGCGAAATAGTTCCCAGAACTCAACATAGTTTTGAATTTCTTTAAGCATAGCTTTTGTCTTCATACAAGTAAAAACTGCCACTCCTCTTACTACATTCTGAAATTTGTACTGGAAAAAAGGTATACTTTCATATTTAACTTCTATTAACTAAGGTAAAAGTCTTCTTTCAACACAGGGTTTAAAATCCATGTTAATTATATGAAATAGGTAACAAGTGATCCCCATCTTCTCCAGGCTTCTAATCGCGGGATATGGTTAAAGCTCTTCTCTGCCATGAAAAAGAGAGCAATTTATTGAAGCCATAAGCACATGGTGAAATTCATTTTTGTTGCAAGACATTTGATAGTGAAGCTATAATCCTAAAATAATTAAGAATTACTAACTTATTTTTTATAGAAGAAAGCTGTCGTTTTTGCTTTGCTAACTTAAAAAAAAATTCTGTAAACACTGCATACAGAATTGCCTTTATAAAATCCTAAGTCAAGTTTTTAGCATTTTCTTTGACTACTACCTGGAAGGTTTGCAAACTCTACAACTAAATGAAGCTGAAAATGCTGTACAAATTATGTACCTAACAGCAGTATCTAAGACTGTCTCTTCTAAGGTCATATTCTATGTTGACTTTCTTTTGGTTTGTGGTATCTTCTTGTCTAAATCTTCTTGGATTCAAGTTTTGGGGTTTTTGGGCATGTTTCAATGCCAGATGTTCCCTGTAAGGAACTGAAGCGTGTAGTTAATCTATGTATTCCTAATCAGGGCCTCCTGAGACCTTTTTTCAAATGTCTTAACCAGGTGAGACACATTTTTAATTCAGGAGAAACAGACAAGTGGTTCTTGGAGGCTTCTGCAGGGTCTTGACAAAGACAGAAACATCACTGGGCCATAGGCCATTCGCTAGCCAGAGATGCTGAGTGAGCAATCCTGGCAGCAAGGTAAGTAGTACCTGCTGAAAGCCAACTCATATGTTCAGAGATTGTTAGAGACATCTCCGCTACACAGAGGAATTAGGATAGCATCCTGCACTGTAGAAACTAACCTTCCTTCTCAGGGGTGCCATGAGTGAAGGGGTTGTTAATCATACAGAAAGGATTTGGATTAAAGGGACAGGCTGTACTCAGATCCAGGAATGTGACATCCTGACCCTTCATCAATTTCTCTTCCAGATTGTATGAAATTTTTAAAATTTTTCTTGCTGAAATGCCAGGTAAAGACAGACACCTGGCTGGCACTTGTACACAGGCAAGTATCTATATAAGGCAGTAACAGGAACAAATACCAACCACTGAATTATAATCTCATTCATTATTGTCAACTAATGCCCACAATAATCTCTTTGCAAGAATGTTTATTTTGTGTCTTATATTTGGTTATAGATCCTGCGGAACAAAGGAGAACGTTACACTTGCCCAAAATACAAGAATAAAAAAGCAAATGCAAATACAGAATGAAATTGTAGCACACTTGGTAGAGACAAGTGATGCACACATCAATGAGATGTGGTTCAAATCATGCTGAAAGTGTCTGCAAGACTAGGAAGTAAAACTCTATGTTCAAATATGTGAGAATTTTTGGTTACCCAAATGTTTTTCACAGAAATCATTGACAAAAAGTATCTTACAGCATTTGGTCACTGGTAAGATCTATGATAAAAAGAAAATATGAAATACCTCAGAACCTCTAGGCCAAAACTAGATATTGCTGTAGTTATAAGTCTCCTCTGATACTTTCTATCAAGATCACCTTACATAAGTCTCTGTGTCTCTCTAAAGCTTACTCTCCTCAGATAACACCCATCTTAAATGGCCATTACGAGGAATAAATGAACAAAGCGATTTGGACATAAGTAAACTTTCAAGATCTCAACAGATGTTGGTTACTGCCAAGATGCATGTCATATAAACAGGAATTACATGCTAACACTGGTGGAACTACCCTGAGGCAAACTGTAAAGACCTATGGCTGGGGAGGGTGGGCTGTTTCTAATACTTACATTTGATGCTCTCTCACAAAAGCTGCAAACTCAGGATCATTGGCATACAGTTCCAACACTCTCATTCTCTCTTGAATTTCCTTTAAAAAGAGGGCGCATAATTTTTTAAAATAAGTTTCGGGTTAGGTGTTTGGCATAGCAGTTGATACCCTTTGGGATGCCTACATATCATATTACAGTGCCTAGTTTATATTGCTGTCTACATTTACTATGATTTATTTACTAATCTGAAAGTCAGTTATGGACAGATAGGGAAAAACAAAGGGAGAGAAAGATAGAGAGTCTTCTATCCAGGTGGCCACAATAACCAGTGCTGGGCCAAACCAAAGTAAAGGACTGGAGCTTGATCCAGGTCTCCCACAGGGTTTCAAGGCTGAAACACTTCGATCATCTTTCACTGTTTTTCCTAGCCCATTAGCAGAAGTTGGATCAGAATGGAGCAGCTAGGATAGGAGCTAAAGCCCATAAAGGACAGAGGTATCGATGCTGCAGTGAGTAGCGTTTCTTGCTATGCCACAATGCTGGCACCCCTGCCTCCATTTATGATCCAACTTCCTGCTAATGTGCACCCTAGGAAGTAGTACAAAATGATTCAAGTACAAGATGAAAAACCTGGATAGAGTTTCTAGCTACTGGTTTCAGTGTGGCCCAGCCTTGGCTGTTACAGGCAAATGAGGAGTGAACTAACTGATAGAAAGTCAGTCTCTTTCTCTCTCTTACTCTGTCTCTCCTTCACACACACATGAACATGTAAAGTAAAAATAAATATTTTTTAAAAATTTACATTTTCAAATATCCTAAAGAATTGTGCCTTTCCTATCCAAGGAAACAGAAGCTTCTCTGTATCCTACTTTGGATATGCTAGTTACTGCTGTAACTAATGCAGTACATTTCTAAAGAAAGGAGGGAGAAAGGAAGGAGTATTTGCTAATAATGGAAAAAGGAGTCACCGGGTTTGAATAAGAAAAAGCTCCAAATTGAATAGCTCCTGCATTTCACACTGACTAGGAGGTAGTATGAGATTAAACCAATCATGAAACTAATTTCATCTCTCTTGAAGCCTAGTACATGCATAATTACACACACACACACACACACACACACACACACACACACACACACACACACATCCCAACAGCAGCAGCAGCAATAGCTGCCGGTTAGACCAGGACCATAGTTTCCTACCTCTTGGGAAAGCCCACTGCTCTCATACATCTGCCTGATTTCCTCTCTGCTCAGGCCACCAAGCACCTCTTCGCTAGCAGAGCTGCAGAAGGCATGCTGTAGACCGGCTGCCTCATAGAGCTCACATCCGGCCACGTGGCCTTCAAACACAGGATTGTGCTTCACAGCATTCTCAACGAATGAGAGGCTGTCGGGCTGCCTGGCAGAACCACAGAAAGAAAGATAATGATTTCATTGATTTTGGTTCTTCTTTGGAAGCTCATTTAGTAGGGAAAGTATTTACTTACCTGGGACAAGATTTCTAATGGGAAAAAAAGAGGTAAACGACGTAAGTGGGGGAGCCAATTGTGAAAAATCTATCTCAAAAGTATATATTAAAAGTTATTTCTGTGTCATCAACTACTTAGGTATCCTATTTAACTGTTTACCTATATATATTCATCTTATTTTCCCACAGTCCCTGATATTAATAAATGCTGGTTGGAAATATCCCAGTTATCAGTATTTCATTAAACAAATGCAGTTTCAGTTATCCAAGAGTTATACTCCTTAGAAATCTGTGTGCAAATACACAAAGAAACTGATAACAATACAAACAGGGAAGTGAGAAAGCTAGCCTCTATCAAATTCAATTCACACCTACAAATATTTATTGATCACTGCCAATGAGTTTAGGGCTGTTCTAGATACCATCAATGCAAGAATCTCCACCTTATATGGATATTCACATTGAAGGATACCTTCCTTCACTGTGCACTCAAGCTCAGGCATAATGGCCTCATTTTTCCCATGTTTGCTCAGCCAGCTGGAAAGCATTCCACCCCCTTCCAGAAACCATCTACTCTCCTCTCCGGCTGAGTATTACAACCACATTCAAATTTCTAAACTCCCTCCCCCACAGAAAACTAGTTTACCTCCCAGCTAGGTTCCTTAGTATCTTATTCATGATGCTGCTTATGTTTCTCTCCCATCTGACACCTCCATGAGAACAGGGATCATGATGTTATCCAAGTTTACAGCTCTCTCCTCTTCACTCAGATTCTTTTCTAGTGTCTGGCACATAATGCTATGTACTAAATGAATGAGTCAACAGAACATTTTATTCCATCAGAGAATGCTTTTTCTTATTTACCTAAAAGGCCTTTCTCTTTCTCCCCTGATCGAGTGAACATGAAGAGTCTTAACAAGGAAGAAGATAGCAGCAGAAGAGACCAGGAGAAGTCCAACCATGGAAGCAATGGTGATGCCTATGACCAAGGGCTCAGAGACAAACTCCTCACAGTGCTCACCACGATACCACCAGTTCTCACCGACCCGGCATCTGCAACAGACAACAGAGCAAAGATCCAAGCCACTCCTATCACAGTACAACTTTATAGAGGAGCCTTCAGTGGGACTGGGAAAGGTAGAGAAATAAGTACTGACCCATGAGAAGCTTTCTCCCAGAGTGGAATACATGAGGTAAATGATCATATAGGACTGTGTATAATGCCTAGCACAGACCTAGTTGGCCCCCAATAATGGTAAACAACTGAAGAAAAGATTGAATGAGGCTTAAGGAATGATTATATCTAATCTCCTTGTTCATGGATAGTGACAAAGAGGCTCAGGAAAAAGAATGACTGGCATTATGTCACCCGATCAGTCAACTAGAACTCAGGGCTCCACACTTCTCAATCCCTGCCACATTAGAGAGCCTTTGAACACGAAGTTAACAGAGCAGCAAGAAAACAATTTTGGCTTAGTATTTTTTCAGATGCTGAGAGACTGCCTTTCTTCATAATTGCCTAGTTAAATCTTACACTTTTTCATTAAAAAAAAAAAAAAACAGAAGCTGGATCATTTCTATTCATCTATGCCAGCTCTTGCCCACTGGAAATTCTTAAACTATCTTTCTGTTTAAGCTTCTGTTTTTTGGGTCTTTTTCATAACCATGAAGTTTCTGTGGATAGAAGCTTGATTTGTTTGGTTTTGTTTTTAAAGGGGAGTGAAGAGGGAAGGGTGGTCAGACTAGCTGAGTATGCTTATCTGCAGCTTTCTCATTGGTTCTGCTTTGAACATTTGTTCAGATGCACAGGCAAGTATATTGACTATCACTTCAGCTACTTGCTTGTCTTTATTTTTGAATATTCAGTGGGATTAAAAAGAGCTTGAATCCATTAAAGATATAATCCAAGTGGAATGACAAAATTCCTTTGTTTTCACTTTCAGATATAGGGAAAAATGTTGATCATATGCCTAATCTTATCATCACAACCAAAAATGATAATGCAGAAATCTCTATCTCCTCAAAGGACCTATAGTAAGATGCACTTAGGCAATTTTATCTTATAGCCCTCCAGCAGCATAAAATAACAACTGAAATGAATGTAGAATCCAATCCTATTAATTTACCTGGTTTACACATGAGAACTAGATGGTACCTATCTGTTACCTATAAATTATTTCTATAATAAATATTATAATGCTAAAATATGCATGTAGATTCCTTTTGATCAGAGGAAGTGTTCTGAAACCAAACTCCCTCACTAGAGCATACCTACAAATGGCCCCGTGCCCAGGCATAATGTCACACTTCCCGTCGTTCAAGCAGAAGTCAGGCTTTAGGTCACAGAGACTCTGACACGGCAGGTCATCCACACTCAGGTATCCAGGGTAGCACCTGCATTGTGCTTCTCCACTCCAGGGACTGACCAAACACTCAGAAAATTCATTGCAGGCCTGAAACTTGCAAGGGTTGGCATCATCACCTAAACATCAAACAAAATCAGAGAATGATGTAAGGAAAAGCAAAATACAGGAACTGGGGCATATGAAGAACCTCATCACAGGTACCCCCCACCAAAGTCCCATAAAGCAACTCACTTATTGTACCATTACAATGCCTCACCACTACTAAACCACAACGTTATTCTGGTTCACCTAAGATTAATGAGCTTTCCTTAAAATTCTCTGGTCAAGCAAGCCTCTTCCTATTTTATGTAGGAAGCATATAGAAGCTTGAAAATCTATATCATATAAAAAATTGCATATCTAATTGAAATACAACTTTCACATGCCATTCAGTTCCACCAACAGTATCCTGCCACAGTCCATCTCTACTCTGTACACACTATGGAGTGCCCTACTGGACACTGAGCCCACAGATGTGAGAGTCCAGACAGCAGGTTGCAGCCTCGAAGATGGGTACAGCCCATTGAAAGAAGTCAAGAATTGAGGTCAGCAGAAAAAAAAATCATCTCTGTATATCCTCAGGCCATTCCCAAATATTTTGGCTTCAGTAACCTTACTTTTTATTGATGGTGCAAAAAAAAAGATAATTAAATAAGACAATAAATACATATATATGACATTGACCACAACAGGTCTTCCATCTTCCATGATCCCACCATATGTTCTTCTCTGACGAATGGCAAATGGGCAAATCAATGGTGCCATACATACCGCAAACAAGAAATAGGTAGAAAGATCCATAGATTCATCTATGTGAAAAAGTGTAAAATTTAGCTACAAAATTTTAAGGTGGGTAAGAAAATTAATTTGTCTTGATTTACAGGGAAATTGACACTGTCTTATAAAGTAATGATTTTCTTCCTGCCCAAGAAATTAAAGATAGTTTTGCTAATGGAGTTTATTGAGTGAACCAGTAGATGAAATATATTCTTTCTTCTTCTCTTACACACACACACACACACACACACACACACACACTACCTTTCAAATAAGTAAGTTTTTAAAACATTATTAAGCAGTCATCATACTAGATGAGGACAGGCCCAAATCCAATGACTGGTAGCAACAATAGGGGGGGTGGAATTTGGTATAATGAATTTAGATAACACTTATGATGCCCACATCCCATATCAGAGCTCCTGGGTATGAGTCGTGATCCTGCTTCCAATTCCAACTTCTTGCTAATGCACTTCCTGAGTGGGAGTAGTGGCCGCTTAAGTGATTGGGCCTCTGTCATGCTCCTGGGAAACCTACATTAAATTTCTGGCTGTCTTCAGCTTATTGTAGCTCCCTCCAACTGCTGTAGGCATTTGAGAAGGAAACCAAGGGACTGATTTCCATTTATATCTATCTCTCTATCTTTGTCTTTCAAGTAAATGAAATATTTTTAAACCGAAGGAAGTTTGGACTCAGAGGGAAGAGGACAATACAAATCTATAGGCAGAGATTGGAGAGCAAGCCAAGGAATAAAAAGGATTGCCAGGCACCCTTAGAAGCTAGGAAAAAGCCAGGAAGGGTTCTAGGCCAGCACACAGATTTTGGACTTCCAGCTTCAAGAACTGTGATGGACCTGTCAGCTGTTCTAAGCCACCTGGTTCCTGGCATTTGTCACAGCAGTTCTATGAAACTAACAGAGGAGCCGCTGGCAAGACATTCACATGCTGACAGACCCAAATGACTTTCAGCAGAACCTACTTATATTTCTCAAGTCCTTACACCTTTATCCTAGTACTCATCTATGACTCTAATCCAAAACTAACTGAATTTGACGTAGCATTGAGACATAGGAATGTGTACAGCAGATGGCAGGAATGATACTGCACAGTTTCCATTAGCTGATAAAAGACTCAAAATGTCTGAGGCAATGCGCATCAAAACAAGGCAGGCAAGATATTTTCTCAAGCCAATCTTGAAATACTATAATTTAATCTGAGTGTCTTTAGCTAAAAGAACACATGTCGTAAGAAAATTCCTTTACAAAGTTTTCTAGTTCCTTTTACTTTCAAACCAAGGGCAGAGAGCAGTACAGATGAGCAGACTGTGAATTTAAAGTTTCTTTCCAGTCCTTTCTGCTGCCTCATGTGGCTGTCCAGAATAGCTAACCTTTTATTAAGAAAAGCACCTTAAGTTTATAGACAAACAAAAGTGGATTTGGAGGTTAGTTTGCTACTGGAGACAGAGATCCAAGGTATAGAATGAGTTACATTCTGGCTTTCCAAAATCAGCCCAAGGGAAGTACTGATGAGTTCAGAGAAAAATGAAAACACAAAAAATGTGAAATCTGGAAAGACAGCTTCATGGCTGGAGCTCCCTGCAGCTGTGTCTCAGGAGAAAAAAGAACCAGTAAGAGAAGTCCCAGAGAGTGGCTGAGGAATTCTTGTATGGTTACACCTCTCCGTGATGATTGTAAGCCATCTGCCATACATCACTAAACATGTATTATTCTCCTACTCTCAGCAAATATATGATAGAATCAACTGTCTTGTGTCAGAGATGCTTTAAAAAAAAATCAAAAGCACAACTGAAGTCTGACAGATTAGCATAAAGACAACTACAAAATTTAGGATGTGAGATTGAAAATTCAGCTGAAGAAACTCAGAGTTGGAGGTAACTAAAAGATATTTTAATCTCTAACAAAGCCTTGAGACAGAAATATTGGAGAGAGGGTATAAAACCTAGATACAAGTTTTATACTGTAAATAGACATGATATTGTCAAATCACTTTAAGAGTTACACCCAGGGAAATATCACTACACTCCTAAATCCATTTTGTGAAATACATAAGACATGCCCATTTCATATAAATAAAATGAGAAACAGTTATACACAATATTGAAGTAAATCATTTAGTATAATTTTCAATAAGAAGTCATTAATTTTTGCAAAAATAATATAAATCATAATTGTAAAGCTAGTCAAATGTTCATATATTTAGTGTTGCTTCATTCTTAGATTATCCTGGTTAAAATACACAGGCCATGGAATGTTACCCCCATTTAATATATGAGACACTAAAGCTAAGAATGAAACAGCTCATCTATGGTCAAACAAATGATAAATGGTAGAGCAGAGAAAAGAGAGCAGGCCAAATTATAATTAATTGTTTCTTCCACTACCACATATGACAAAGTGCATTTGCCTTAAATAACTCGAGTGGCAAGAGGTCTGGATATGCGCAGATTAACTAAATCATTTTCCTCACATTCAGTGAATGATAGTCCTTCAAGGATTTTAAGGGAAAGAATGTTCGCTCCTTCCTAGTTGAAAAATAAGGCTGTCCTTCAAACAAATATGAAAGTAAAAGGCACTGGATAAATAGGAACCCAGACATCCCACCTGACTCCTACTCAAACCTCTGTTCCCTGGTGTGAGGAAAGAATCAAATTCCATACTCAGAATTCTCTGTGTTTAAGTCTCCCAAATGAAAGCAATTTCATTTCATCAGTTCTGAGTGTCTTTCAGAATCTACCATGTCAAGGCTCTGTGCTGATTTCTGGCTAGGAGGAGTTTAACAATAAGACAAAACTAACAACTAAGAAACTACAACTACAAAAATTAACGTTATTACAATGGTAAAAAGAAAAAAAAAAAAAACCTCCACATAAAAAAGGAACATGGTTTGCTTTTGAAAAAGACTAATAGCAAAGACCAATCTGGATTATAAGTCAGTAACAGTACTAAGGAAGTGACTTAAATGAGTCAGAACAGGTAAGCAGGAGTCAGCCAAGAGGGAAGTCTCAGACCTAGGGGACAGTACATGCAAAGGCTTTAAGGAGAGAACAAGTTTCCATTGAAGTCTATCCCTAATGTAATAAATCATCCTTTTGTCCTTATCTTACAGTCTACGTCATAAATTCCACTTTATGTTATATACTTACTCTGCTTTTAAAAAAGCAGTGTGTGTATATATATATATTTATATTTGTTTAAATGTGTATATAATTTTTACATCTGAAGCAAAGATGCAAAAATGTTAGAAGCTGTCAAATCTATTTGTGATTACTAAATTCTACTTTTCTGAATACATAGTTTGAAATAAAAACTTAAAATGGGTTATTTTTATTTGAAAAACTAAAACAAACTTATTTTCTTTGGCAAATGTGAGAAGATAATGGAGACCAGGCCTTATGGTTATTAAGCTGGGTAGTCAATTAATTGTTTCAAGCTACAAAGAGAAATAGTCTGGTTGATGATTTAAAAAGAACATAGTGGCTACTAACTCAAAAAAGACTAGAAGGAATAAAAAGAATGTGGGAAAACTCAAATGATGATTTGGACAGAGTGGTAGCAGTAGAGATACAGAGAACAGAGTTTTGGCGCCAAGGCCTAGCAGGTAAAGTCCTCACCTGGAACGCACCGGGATCCCATATGGGCACCGGTTCTAATCCCGGCAGCTCCACTTCCCATCCAGCTCCCTGCTTGTGGCCTGGGAAAGCAGTCGAGGATGGCCCAATGCTTTGGCACCCTGCACCCACATGGGAGACCTGGAAGAGGCTCCTGGCTCCTGGCTTTGGATCGGCACAGCACCAGCCATTGCGCTCACTTGGGGAGTGAATCATCGGATGGAAGATCTTCCTCTCTGTCTCTCCTCCTCTCTGTATATCTGACTTTGAAATGAAAATAAAATAAATTTTAAAAAATAGTTGAAGCAACTTTTAGAGTTCATAAGGTGGTATGTTTGGTAGCAAGCTAAAAAAAGGAATAGATTCAGTACTTAGGAAAATAATACAGAAGAGAGTCTACATCTGCTGGACTTGGTAGTACAAAGACATAGTAATAAGACATTCAGTAGGTGAGTGAAAGAATCAGAGTGAATAGAAAAGGGAACAGGAAGTAAGCCAGGAAAGCATGACAGACCATCCTTTAGAAAAGATGCTATAATAACAATGCATCTAGAATAAATATTGTATTAATTATCAAGATATGAAAAATGTATCTGGAATAGCACTTCTTCCACCACCACCACCCCAAGGCCCTACCCCTGCCACACACACGTACTAGATTGCCCTTGCATCAATGAGGGAAAAAATTCACAAGAATAATCACTGCACTCCACCAAGCAGGCAACATTATTACCTGATTCCACATCAAGGGAGTATTTATCAATAGCCAAGTTCATGGTTTGGTAAGCAGTAGTACAAAAGTCTTCTAGAATCAAGTACACAGCATTGTTGACATTAGGAGGGACTGACTCGGCGAACTTCATTCGGCTGTTCACCACAATGCTGCCATTTCTGAAGTTGAGGATTTCCAAGTTCTGGAACCCTGTGAGGTTTGACTGGAGATAGGGAACCAGCTACAATAAACAGAAAGCAGAAAATTTATTGATAGGATTCTGCATTTTGTTCAATACATGCCAAAAAAAGAATGAGTTTCTCTTCAACTTTTCCCATACTGTAGACTGTACACATTTAGATTGCTAATTAACCAAATTTTATATCAGGAATGATCTAAAAGTACAAATACCATGAGATATTCATAGTGGTATCCAAAAAGCCGCGTGAAACTCACAGTTTAACACACCTACCTCACATGCATAAAGACATCATAGGTACTCAAAAACGCCCTAGGTCTCACCATAAAATATGAAAAGTAGCCTCAATTTGCTAAGAATTCATGGAATACTCCTTTCCAATCATAATCTGTCACATTATTTTCTTGCCTCTGTTGTATTTTTCCCTTCCTGTGTCATTGTTTTCCTGCCATTCTTAGGTTATTATACCTTTGGTAGGTGATAGGCAATAAATGTTTATAGCAGCTCACACCTTCCTTGACTCACATCATCTGTGTTGGAGGAGGGATGGCTCATACCTGATTACTCACCAGTACCAACTCTTTTTGTACTTACCAACTCTAAGAATCTTTGCTCCAAGGCTTTATACTCCAAAGAGTTTTTATTAAACAGGTCTTCTGAAAACATCATGTTAGTCACTCGGAGGCTAAAGAAAACCACCAAAGCTCCTCCTGTCTGGGTATAGCTTGAATCACCCCCATTAGTGGATGGAGCTACAACAGCCATCTCTGTAGCGTCTACATTTGTAGAAATTTCCATGTAACTACCAACCTTGCCACTTTTCTCTTGAATTAGCTCAGGCTGATAGTAATCTGTGCCTACCCGGTCCAACTCTAATGATATGTCCTGTACACCCACGATTACTTCATCCTCCAGTGGGATGGAGGTCATGGTTGGAGGCAATTTGGGAGACTGTGTCATGGAAGCTTTAGACCAGAGTCTGTCGATACTCTGTGGTGTCCTTGCCAATGTGACTCTGGACAATTTCCGTGGCGAAGATGTTGCTTCCCAAACTGCCTCTGATTCTGGCAAGGCAGTCCACAACACTGAATCTTTGCTGTCAAGTCCTTCATGTTCAGATGACTTTGTACTTTGTTCTATTTCCTCCTTTAGGAAATCATCTCGATCTGGCTGGTCAACAGATGATATTGCTACAGACGCCAGTAGAAGGGGAGCTTTCGTAGCTGAGTAATAATCAGTGTCAGGTGCCTCTGATGAGTATTCAGAGATGATCAGAGATGCAGGCTGCGTTGCAGTCTCTGCATTGAATGGCACTGTAGGTCCACCATAAAGCTTTTCTCCAAAGTCTGTGGATCTACCATCCTGTTCATAATCTGGATGCTCAATAATTTGATATGCAGAAGTCACTTCACTACCTATGACTAATTCCTCACCTACACCCTCACTTGGCAAAAGTGAATCCTTCTCTTCAAGCCATGATTTGGACAATGGTTCTGTGCTCTTCTCTAATAAAATCTTACTCCATGGCCAAGTAATCAGATCCACCATTTGCCCAGATCCAGAACTAAAGCCACTTTCAATTAAGGACTCTTCTACCATGACTGTTTCTGGCAGCAAAGTGTTCACTTTTAGTTGGTCTTTGACTTGGGAGTCCAGGGAATCCAAGACAAAAGGTACAGTTATTTCTTCAGTAATAATATCTAATGTGGCAGGAGAAAGCAAATGCGGTGAGGTTGTTAAGATTATACCAGAGTCTTCCACAGACAGCACTGCTTCTCTTGGCACAGGCTCAGTCAATGAGCTTGAAGGCAATGGATCCACAGAATAGCCAACAGCTAATCCTGAAAATAAAGTTTTCCATTAAATATGACACAAAACATATCCCTAGTTTTTCCAATAAAACTAGTAATCTGATTTTTCCATCAAATTAGCAGCAACTATTGTTGGCTATTACTTTACAATATATAACAAAAAACAAAATGACTTACTAATGTGTTCATGATGTGGGATGATCATTTGTGACTATAGTCCCCTTCACGAGAATAATATCACCATGTTGAATAATTCATCTTCAAACCTTTAATTTTTTTATACCATGGATTGATTAAATAAATAAATAAAGCAATCCAGCAGGAATTAGGAAAGAAACTTCTTTAGATACTGTAGTTGGTTTTGAATTCCCATTCCCCTATTATTTTTATTGCTCACCATCCTTCATATTCAGTCTATGCTCAAAATCCCAGGCTTTTTCTATCTTTGTTCATCTTTCCCTTTAATATGTAAACTCCATCCTTGGTCACATCAATTTTTCCTTTTCTCTACAACGTTTAGAAGATCACCAGTCGGGCTCAGCATAGTAGCCTAGTGGCTAAAGTCCTTGCTTTACATGCCCAGGATCCCATATAGGCACCGGTTCACATTCTAGCTGTTCCACTTCCCTTCCAGCTCCCTGCTTGTGACCTGGGAAAGGGGCTGGCCCAAATACTTGGGACCCTGCACCTGCATGGGAGACCCAGAAGAAGCTCCTGGTTCCTGGCTTTGGATTGGCAGAGCTCCAGCCATTGCAACTACTTGGTGAGTGAAACAGCAGATGGAAGATCTTTCTATCTCTCCTTCTGACTATAAATCTGGCTCTCCAATAAAAATCAACAAATCTTTAAAAATAAGATCATCAATCATTAGATTTGGACTCCTCCACAATTAATCAGACTAAAAGCTGCTATATATCTAGAGGAATTGCACAATGGAAAATAGCATACCAAGAAGTGAAGATACATTACAATATGCACCTCTACTCCAAAATAAAAGATGGACTCCTAATCAAACTTAAATATATCTTGACAATAGAATGCTGGACTTTCTACCATCATCTATACTTGCAATGTCAGGATACACTTAAATAGCAGAATGATGGACTATGACTGTTGTTGAAGAACTATACTATTATAACAATACAGGGAAGTCAGTGGGGATTGAAGAGGAAGAATAAGGAAAATGGAAGGGAAATTCCTGAACCTATGAAACTGTATCATAAAAAAAATTTTTTTAATTCAAAAGCTGCTGTGATAATCTTTTTTGATACTCTTTGCTTACCACTCCAGTACTAAAGTAGTTGCTAAATAATAGTAGTAATAACTTAATTGTATATTCTTCATTTCTAATTATTTTCCTGTTTGGGGTCTCCATCCCAGGTGACTAAATCTGAGTGTTTTGCTTTCTCACCCAAGTTTCTCAAGGTATTTTCCCCTAATGAAAGTTATCATGCTTTCTGTCTGAGCCGTAACCTCTTCCTCGCTTCAAAACCCTTGGCATCTGATTTAATAAAGTATAGAAAATGATTCAAGTTCCTCACCATCTCCTATTAAGTGAGATCCAGAAGTCCCCTCCTCAGGAGCCACAGGCACATCAGTGGGAAGCACTGCTGGGGTGACAGAATGGAGAGTCAAGCCACTAACCTCTAAAGCCTCTTGGGAAGGACCCAGGCCCACCTTGGAGGGAAAGGCTAAATCGAGTGTAAACACTAAATCACCCAAAGGACTTTCTGGCGAGAGTTCCCTGTCAGTGCTTGAGGGAGGACCAGAGCTGAAATCAAGTGGTGAAATACTGCTGGCTGTGGATCCATCTGCTGAGGGCCATTCAGCTTGAAAGGTATTATCCTATGGGGAAAAAAAGGCTAAATCATATCATACATAAAATGAACACACAATAATTACTTTAAATATCACCTTTCTATCTATACACCTATCTGTCTATACTGGAACAAGAGGTAATGTACCACTGAGAGAAGAGGGCAGAGCGGGTGTTAGAGCCAGTCAACATGGGCTCTAGAATCAGCTTTACCTCAAATTGTAACTCCCAATTAGAAAACCCAAAGGAAAACTATAGCAAGCTCTCAAAACTCACCTGCAAAAGTGGGGTGGGGAGAAGCACACAAACTAAAAGTTAGTAATTAGAGTTCAAACTTTGGCCATGAAATAAAATCTGTGAAGGAGTCAACCTAACGTGTGGTCTAATAAATCTTTTACCCTTTGTCTACACAATGTCCCTTGCCTTTGATAACTTGTGTGAGGAAGCTCTGAACTGCACACGCCAAATCATCAGGAAGGAACTGAGAAGCAAGAAATCACCAGAAATGCACTAATTTGTCTCTTCCTATAGGTACAAATACAGAAGAGAGATAGTAACAGATCATTGGCTATAATGAAAGATATTTTCAGCTTAACTTACTTCCTTTAAATTGACAACTAAACCTTTCATTTGTGGAGCTGAGTGACATTATAATTTTTTGTCTTGTCCATGCGCTTTAATTAATTTCTGCTTCAAATGAGCTTCCAGGTTGGTTATTCTATATTTGCCACCACGAACCAGATCCTTCTCTCTGTTATCTGCCCTGGAATGTGGGTTCCTCTGAATCATATCACTCCGTTTTGAGTTTGGACAATCGGTGGCACAAGCAGATCAAGTCAGGAGGAGTGAGAGGCTGGGGTTTTCTTGCTGCTTCCTCCTACTCTCAACTCTGTGTCTCAAGCAGTAGCTGTGTCCTTCCACAGTGCAGCTCTGGCTTCCACTGGACTCTGATAATAGCATTTCCTCCCTTTGTCCTTGAATCCAGTAGTTGATAACGGTCCCTTTATGCTGTCTGCCTAGCTCAACACCACTTTTTGTTCCCTTAACTCTACCCATACCTCCATTAGTAGGTTCATATGGGTAAGTGTTAACTATTTAGACAAAGGAGGAGCCATGGTATAAAAATGTACTATCATGTATAGTACCAATGATGCTTACTAAAGATAAGGAAATGAGGCTCATAGAAGTAAAATTTCTGAGGTCACAAAAAAAATAGAGAAAAAAATCAGGATGAAAGTTTATTCTCCAGATTTCTTGGTGCCAGTGCTTTTCCCACAATAACATGGTTATTTATTCAAAGATCTCTACCAGTGTATTGTCACCAATGCAGAAAAGATTCCCAGTGAAAAAGCCACAGCCAACTGACTTGTCAGTCCTTTTTCTGTTGGGTTAACACATTTCACAAGGCCCAAATGAACACAGATGGGAGGGAGAGATAGAGCCCATTGTCCAATATTCAAATGCCTGTTTGTATAGGAAGAAAATTCCTTTTTTTTTTATTTTTCTAGTATCTAAAACACATTTATACTTAGGGGAAGGCAAGAAGACAATTTGTTCAAAATATACCTCTGTTTTTAAAGATGTAGTTATGATATTAATGATGATATCAAATCAGAAAATTTATTTTTTTCCTAATGAACCAAAATCATAATTAAAGTTAACTAAGCTTTCAGCTGAGTCAGGCATGTTTATATTCTAGCAAATTCCAAAGATGCTTTTCATTTTTTAAACTCTAAGCAGATGACAATTCATTTAGGTTGTGCTTAGTGAATTTAGCTTTGAGGTCTTTTGCTTTTTGCTTGCTAAAACTTTTCATTCAATGAAGTATTAAGCCTTTCACTGTATTATAAATTTACAATATGTTAAAACTAAAAAAAAGAAAGAATGGGAGAGAAAGGTAAAAAGGGAAAAAATATTCTGTTCTTAGAACTCTACCTGCAAATCACACTGATTCTGTTATAAATTAACTTAAAATTAAAATTTTTAAAATTTTAGAGCTAAAAAAACAAATTTAGCTTCATCAGAGATGACATATATATCAAACTGACATACATTTTAAAAGATGCTAAGTTTCTGATGAAATTACAATTTGCAAAAAGCAATATTTATTATTTCATTATATTTATGTAACTAAATGCTGTTTTCATTTTGTAAAAGAACAATAAATATTTTTATAAAATCAACTCAAAATGAATATAAAATGTGAAAGTAAGCAATTTCACTTTTCAAGTAAAGAATGAAGACCATCTGCTAAAAAAAATTGGCATTCCCCCCAAAAATTCATGGAGATGAAGCTTTCTTATACCTATTGAAAGGTGAAGAATGCATTAATGCTAAGAATAGCACTTCATTTATTTTTATATCAATAAATGTTACCATAGTAGCAAATGCAACTCATGAATTCTTCTTTTAGTTCAACATAGTGTATTGACAAGTTTAAAATTATTCTGGCAAGCTTTACTTTTGCTAATGCCAGTTGAAAAACTTGCTAATGCTATAGAAACAACTGATTTTCCAAGCTGGAATTCCAGAAAGGCATCAAATTCAATATCCCAACACTCCCACCTCTAATACAATTTTTAAAAATCAAAGCTTATTTAACAAAAAGTCATTTCTATAAGAGAGCAAATTTTGTTAATAGTTGAAAGAAAGAGAGAACAGAACAAAAAACAAGTAAGAATTAGACACTCCTAATTAATCACTCATTTTTATGTCTCATCATCACCCATTGCCATCCCAACGTCTCCTTAAATTGTTAGCTGGTATATTTGAATTATCATTAGTGACAAGGTAAGGAGTTAACTTAAATGCAAATGGAATCACTGCAGCATAAATGAACAAGAAACCTGGTTTGTCAGTGCTATGTCTCATCAAAGGGTCAGCCAGGGCCAAGCTCTGGTCACTTTCTGACACAATGAAACAGAACTTCACATTAGAAGATCTTACTGATATTCAGAAGATGAAAAGTTCTGTATGCTGTAGTGCCCACATGTCTCTTCAGTTTAACCCTTGAAATAAATTTCTGTACCACAATTTGCCATTTGGTTTGTAAAAATATACCTGAGTAACTTTTGGAGAACGATTCATACTTAGTAGCTACCAAACAAGTATGTACTAGAAACAAGTTTTCTTGCATGTGTGGAGTTTGGAAATACAGCCCTGATTTAACCATTGCAGAAGGCTTAAATGGTTTGAGCCAACACATGGTACTCATGAGCTGACAGCCATGAGTAATGTTCCAGGGATGATGCAAGAGAATACCTGAAATGGAAATAGTTTGGGAAATTCATGATGCCAAAATAAGCAGATGAAGGTGTAAAAGAGAGAAACTTGACGGCCTGGTTCTAGGCATTGCCATAAAACATAGAAACATACCAAAGTCGGAGATGGTGCCTGCAGACTTGGACTTTGTGTATTCAAAATAGGGTCTTCAGGTTGGGGAAGCAAAACTTCTCTCACTGAAGAAATAACATTAAGAACATTTTTAGCCAAGATATTGTTGGATTTTATGTACCAGGACAGCTAAAAACCAAGCTCTTTGCGTGTCATTTGCCAATTTCTGCCTATAAATATTACTCAGCCCCATGGTAGTTCTGGATTCAAAACAGAAATTGATTGGCTTCTAGGGGCTTCCCAACTCATTAACTGTCCTTTGTTCTATTAAACTCTGCATAATTTAATTTATAGAAAGTTTTCTTTTAATAACAGATTAAGTTTCCTTTTGCTCACAGAGATATTGCTAAAATCTCTCACCTTTCCCATGTGTATTTTCTTTTTTAGCAGCTGGCACCAGTCCCACTCTGCCATTTTAGTAAAATAGAACAAACTGAATACTTTGAAAGCTTAACCACCAATGACCTAACAATTCAGACATAAAAACATGTAATAGCAAGTAACTGGACAGGACACTGTGTCCCTGATGAGTTAAACTCTTGCACACCAAACTATTAGTAAATTTTAGTCCCAGATTGGCTGTAACACACAACAGCCTCCAGATCCAGAGCAGTTTTCCTCTCCCTGATGATCCCAGATCCACATATTCATGTTGGTTCATAACTATAACTCCCTAACTAACTATATTCTGCCATCATTTCTTTGATGAAAACATACCATTACTTTCCTAAACTGTTCCCACTCTTATGCTCTCTGATTTTCAAGTTATTACCAGTAGACCAACCTCTGGACAATTTATGTCATCATTACCTAAGCAGGATTATGGCCTGCTTCTGCTTAAACTTCCTGATAAAACAGTACTTTCCTTTTTCTTCTACTGCATATATTTAGGGAAATTGGTTTTTAGCCAGAGAACATTGGAAAGGAAACTGAAACTATGAAGGATATCAAACTCACCACTAATAAGCTGAAGGGAATCAGGATCTGGATCCAAGGAGGAATTTCCCAGCAAAAAATTCTGGTGCAGTGTTTCAGCAATATAATCTCTGAAGTTGCTAATTGTATAAACAGCAGTGGGCTTATCATCCAACTCCACAAGGCCATGGTTTTCTACCTTATTGGAGTGAAGGCTAATGAGCTCCCAGGTGGTATTGCTGATGGCCTCACCATTGAAGGTAACTGCATAGTGAACATCCATGCCACTACAAAAAAAAAGAACAGATTAAGTCCAGCTGAGGAAGCATAAACAAAGGAGCACTAGAATTACAGAGAACAAACATTAGACCTAGAGGAAGAGTCTCACCGTCACTCTCACAGGCTCTGGGCTGTGTTTTTGCCATCCTGTCTTACTTTCCAGAGAATTGGACATCCAGGAGCAGAGACTATACTGCGGACGTACCTGAGTCTCTTCTTCCCCCAGATCTCAATCATTATTCTTCCTTCAAAGTCAACCATCAGCATGCTTCTTTTTTTCCCTATTAGTTTTTTTTTTCATTTAATTATTAAAAACCTTTCCTAACTCCTCCAACAACAGGAAATCTCATAACCACTAAGCATTGTTGTTGGATGAATTATGTACTAAAACACGGCTATCTAATTGTGGAAAGAAACCCATGAAAAACATGGAAATGCAACAGATCACAGTTTGTGAATTTTTTTTTAAAGATTTATTTTTATTATTTTTTCATTGGAAAGGCGGATATACAGAGAGGAGAGACAGAGAGGAAGATCTTCCATCCGATGATTCACTCCCCAAGTGAGCGCAACGGGCCGATACTATGCCGATCCAAAGCCAGGAGCCTCTTCCGGGTCTCCCACGCGGGTGCAGGTTCCCAAAGCTTTGGGCTGTCCTCGACTGCCTTCCCAGGCCACAGGCAGGGAGCTGGAAGGGAAGCGGGGCTGCCGGGATTAGAACCGGCGCCCATATGGGATCCAGGGCGTGCAAGGCGAGGACCTTTAACCACTTGCGCCACCGTGCCGGGCCCCAGTTTGTGAATTTTTTTTAATCAAGTCCTAACATCTTTTCTTTTGAGTTACACACACAAACAGAAAGAGAGAGATCTTCCATTTGCTGATTCACTTCCCAGAAAGCTGCAATGGCTAGGGCTGTTCCAGGCCAAAGCCCAGAGCCAGGAGCTATTGGGGGTCCTCCCGTCCCACGGAAGAAATCACCCGACACTTGAGAGAGTCTCCAAGGCGCTTTATTCCGATCTTCTGTTGTGAACCGTTATGACCGTTATGACCGTTACGCTCCAGCCCCTCCCCCGCGAAGCCCCCGCTTAACTGTCAAACCTGTCCAATCAGCTTAAAGATACCCAAGGCACACCAATCAGGGCAAAGGGCCAATCACAGGGCAGGAAATTGTCAGTGCCCCCAACAAGCAGCTTCATCTGGGTCTTCATCGGTGCCACGGATCAAGTACTTGCACCATCATCCATTGCTTTCCCAGGCTGTTAACAGGGAGATGGAGTAGAAGTGAACCAATCAATGCCCAAATGGGATATTGGCATTGCAGGCTGGGGCTATACTCACTCTGTCACAAGGTTCACCCCTCTAGTTCTCTGTAGAGATTAACTCACTAAATTTCAAAATGACACAATGGAAAACTTGGAAATGAAACCCAGAGTGAAGATTTGAATTGCCCCAATAGTTAACACATCAATGCTGGCCTCTACTTCAGGAGCTCTACAGAAACTCACAGGCCCATACCAAACAAAATAATGCCCAACATACCACTTAACTCAATGGGCTACAGCCCACCTTTGCCATTCCAAAAGAAACATCCTATCTCCTAACACTGAGTAAATGAACACATGAGCTTATCACACCCTGTTCACCCCCAGCTTTGATTTATAAGACGCATGCCTTGAATCCTTGTGGAATACAGGATTTAATCATTAGTTGTCTGGTTCTTTGCTCTGACCCTTGCAAAAAAAAAGAAACTGTTTTTCTCTATCACTCCAAAATCAGTGACTGGCCTGCTGGCCTTCAAATGAATGGACAGTTTGGAGTTCTACGGCAACTCCTCCAACTGGTTTTGAGCGTTCTATGACACAATGTGACACTCTTAGTGGCATTAACTAAGCTATTATCATGAAGACAGCTTTACCCTAGTCAACACTTTGGCTTCCAATCAGACCCTGTACAATCACAAATAGTCAGCAAGACTCCTCTGGAGGAAAGAACACTACCTTAACAGAGGTAAATCACTCAAGACTGTCTGGAACAATGAGATTGCTCTATAATCCATGTTACTGCTTCAGGAATGGCTTCTGCTCAGTACACTGGGGTTTTCTTGTATGAGAAATCTCTGCAAAGAGAATGCAGATGGCTACAAGCATGGCTTGCTTTACTGGCCTAATATTAGGATTGCCCAACTTTCCTACTTCTAATTTCAAGCCCTGAAAAATAAAATTTTAATTGTAATTCCATACAGATTTTCCTAGAGCAACAGAATGCATAAATCAGTCAAGGCAATCGTTGATCAGCTGACGGCTATATTTCTCATTTTAAATAGATTAATGGGCATCATGGAGAATCGGTTGTCTTTTTTGTTTTGGTGAGCACGAATGCTATTAAGAGATTTTTCCCTCCTGGAAGAACTGGCTGTTCTGGACCTGTCCTGGTTTGCATGGTACAGATCACACCCTGGATGTCAAAGGCCACGAAGGTCAAACTTTCATGTGACACAAAAGTAGCCGGGCCTTTTTGATGTTTTTGTATCACCCTGAATGTTGGGTTTTTTTTTTTAAGATTTATTTTTATTATTTTTTTTATTGGAAAGGTGGATATACAGAAAGGAGAGACAGAGAGGAAGATCTTCCATTCGATGATTCACTCCCCAAGTGAGCGCAACGCCGATGCTATGCCGATCCAAAGCCAGGAGCCTCCTCTGGGTCTCCCACGCGGGTGCAGGGTCCCAAAGCTTTGGGCCATCCTTGACTGCCTTCCCGGGCCACAGGCAGGGAGCTGGAAGGGAAGCGGGGCTGCCAGGATAGAACCGGCGCCCATATGGGATCCCAGGCATGCAAGGCGAGGACCTTAACCACTGTGCCACCACGCCGGGCCGCCTGAATATTGTTTCTAAGATTTGTTAAGTTAACCCTTATGCTACACTGGTATGGGACTCTTAAAAGCAATGGTTAATCACTTAGACATCCTGATATTCTAATCTAAGTGTTAAAAACATCTGCTTTTCATCTAGAATTTCCCTCAATCCCTTAAGCAATTCAAAAATTTTAGTTTGTACTTCCAAATATGTTGATTCATAGGTAAATACTTGATTTTTAACTAAAGAAGCAATTCAGTAAAATATACTAAAATATCAAAATAACCAAGTGATGGCTCTAGAGTGGAACCAAACAGTAAGAGCGACACCTACTGGTCAAAACTCAGCACAGGCTGCTCCCCTTGCTCTTGGGAGTTTTCAGGCATTCTGACCAACCAGCAGACTATAGGCAGGCACATTTACACTATTGTCTATGAAATTGTGCGCATGCATTTCCTTCTCTCTGCATGCCTGCTGTTTCCCCCCACCCTATGCACACATCCTCTTCACCTGGCTACTTCTGCTTTGCCTAAGTTAAGACATCACCTCTAGTTGAGCCTCTTGCTAGCATAAGATATATAGACACAACTGGTGCTGTTACTCCGTCTCCCTCACCACTAACTACTCTTCAGCTCTGTATCCCAGTCATCTACCACAACACCTGGTTCCAAGTAATTCAATAAATACTTTCAAAAATAATGAGAGAAATGACCAGTTTGGTTCACACGTGTAACGAGATAAGACAATTGAAATTGTGCCACTTAGATGACACTATGTAACACTTCTGATTTATCTGAATCATCTTAAATCTCTAAATATAAAGAGATAATTTCCAACCCTAAAGACCAAGGAAACTATCCTCTCATATCTGTAATGATCTGTGTAATCATTTTTTTAACATTTATTTTATTTTTATATGACAGGTAGAGCCACAGAGAGAAGTAGAAACCAAGAGAAAGCTCCTTTATGTGCTTGTTCACTCTCCAAATGGCAACAACAGCCAGACCTGAGCCAATCCAAAGACAGGAGCCAGGAGCTTCTCCATAGGTGCAGGAGCTGCTCTCGTCGCCCAACCCAGGCCACCAGCAGGTAGCTGGATTACAAGTGAAGCCTCTGGGATTCAAACCAGTGCCCATATGGGATGCCAGTACCACAGACAGTGAGCCAATCTGCTACACCATGGCGTTGGCCTCATCTGCATAATCATTTTACAAACATGGTTTCCTAGGCACAGCCTAATTCTGTGAGGATCCTGTTGTTCCCACGTTTACTGGGACAGATCATACTCTCATCTTCAGAAAGGTGGATTTCTTACTGGAATCTTGGCACATCCTGTTAGAACTTCTAGTGTTTGTCTCTAAGACACAAAACAGTGATAAGGAAAAAAAATAAGGAAGAGCTGTGCTAATTGGCACTGGAGTTGATTCCTGGATTATATAGAAAATCAGACACGGAGAATAAAGCATTTATTGGGAGTCTACTGTGACCCTTGTGCGACTTTTAATTAAAATGGGGAAAGGCTCAGAAAAAAATGTTCCTGGATGATGACATCTATGCAAATAAAGTGGTCTGGATTAGATCTCTGACCCTATTCTTTACTAACAAAGCATGAAGCCTTCCAGTATTTCCATTGAATACCTAAAAATAAAATTGCTGCAATAATCTATCATGCCTTGTAACAATTTAAATTCATTAAAGAAGATAAATTGCCTAAGAGATGCTGCAATTTACTACCATATTTTTTTGTACAGAAACAAAACTCAGAATAGGGGTAGGAGCATATTAAAAGAAAACCAAGAAGCTAAGGAAGTACATAAGCAGAATACACACTGGGACAGGAAACATTATCTAATTGAAGAAAGAGTTCTACTGGCTTTGTGTACTTGGCAACTTGTCAACCATCCACCACAGTATCATCTTTCACATAGTCAACTGGACTGAAACAGCTGTTGTGCAGAGGAGAGCTTCTTGGGTTGACAGCTCTTCCCAGAGACATAAGTTATACAGAGGTCAAGTTCACCCTTTTTTACTTTCACTTTAAGGGCACTAACATTCAGCTGGTTTTGGCATGTTGTAGATTTTACAAAAATAAATAAATAAATAAGAGCAGCACCACATGCCATTAAGACCTGCAAGAATATTTCAGACATAAGAAACTCAAGACGCTGCTTCTGTCATAACACTTCTTCCATGAAGAAACTACACATCCAAAGCCTTAGTTGAATTTCTGAAGTATGTATACCAGATGTATATATTGTTGATTCACTTCAAATGGGTCCTACTAAATGTAATGAATAAATCTTGAAAGAACAAATAGAAAAGGTCATGTACATATAAATGCTTATGGAGAAAGGGAGATAGTATGGATCCTACAAGTAGACTATTTCTGTGCTACATAGTCATTCATACATATTTCACAATATAAGCACATCAAAAGTAACTAATAAATTCTATCAACTACCTGACAAGGCCAAAAATGTCAAAACTGTACCTGGGTTAACAATTCTACCATAAAATGTAATGAATTGTTGGCTATTTCCCTACAGGACTGTAATAGTTAGAAAACGGATACTACTCTTTGGATCATAGAATTGACACTAATGCTTGAGCTGTCTGAACACTCTAATAACCTAAAGAACATCTCAAACAATCAGGTGTTTGGGGCTGGCATTGAGACACAGCATGCTAAGCCATTGCTTGCCACACTAACATGAGCGCATTAAGTTCTAGTCCTGGCTGCTCCACTCCTTAATAATGATTATAATTATTAAGGAGCTGGATCCTTAATAATGCACCTAGGAAAGCTTGGAAGACAGTTCGAGTACTTATACCTAAACAGGAGACCTGGGTGGAGTTCCATGTTCACTCCTAGTTTTGAGCTAACTCCACTGTAGGTGTTTAGGGAGTAAGCCAGTAAGAAAGTGAATAGAAGATCTCTCTCTCTCTTTCTCTCTGTCTCTCTCTCTGTCTCTTTCTCTCTCCCCCTCCTCTTTCTCTGTCACTCTGCCTTTCAAATAAAACATAAATCTTACATCAAGCTCCCACATTTTCTAAGCTAATTCCAAATTCAGCGGGTAACACAGAAAATATTGTACCTGTCATTTTCCTTTGGGGACCTGAAAACAAAAATACAAAGAATCAAGAAGAATTCCAGACAACTGTAATTGTCACATTATTTGCCAAAGTACAAGTTTATATGTTTTTCCTGATCTTATTTGAAGTGCATCCTTTAAATGAAAACATCTGCATAGTGCCAGATACTGAAAAATATCCTTAGCTATTCCACTCCTAAGTATTCTGTTTAAGAGCATGTTGTTTGTTGTCTTTCAAACTTTGTGTAAAAATAGTTTTTAAATAATTTATATATTTATCTCATAAACCAACATTTTTCATTTTATCTGCAGATGATTCTACTTGTTGATATTAAAACTTAAAGATCTGCTTTGAGAAACATTATTCTATGTAGTAGTAAAATAAACAAAATAAAAATCAGGTGTAATGACTTACATTAAAATACAAGACTGAGAAATTGCAGAACTGTACTGAAGACTCAAATGAGGGAGGAAAAATCTTATAAATCAAAATGAGCTTTTTCAAATAAAACAACAATGAAAGTGGAACAATAACTTCAAGGCTCTAAATGAAAACTATTAACCATCAAGAATTCCATGCCTAACCCCATCGTCCATCTGCTCGGATGGTCAAATAAGATTATTTTCAAACATAAACAAAGACAAATCACCTCCCATATACTTTTGCATACTACACAAATGAGGAAGATCAAAAACGTTTTTGTAGGTCACGGTAGAGAACAAGGGAATGCCATGTTGTTTCTTCAGCCCACCACATGAAGGAGCATTAATTAAGATACATGATAAGAGATTAATAAATACAGTGGATTAAACAAGGCAAAATAATTTATGGAACTCTCATGTAACACATTCAAATCAGACACTCCAAATTGTTGGGACATTTATGTTTCCCCAACCCATTCAAAGACCCAAGTTCTATTGTTGATTCAGATCACTGTACTTTTCTTCAAATACAAAGTGTCAAGACATATTTCTGTTCCAGTTTCTGGGGAAATCATGAGCAAAAACTCAAACTAAGTGATTAAGGTAGAAATTTATACACACCAACCCCATTTTTATACAAAAGAAAAGTTATAAAAAATACAAGTCCTATCTGTGCTGGGCTCTGTGCTTGCTAGTACATACAGAATCTGGTCTGGGAACACCTCAAAGTTTCTTTGGGGATCCCCCAAATCGAGCTTCCAGACTCAGAACCCTAACCATCAAAAGTCAGAGGACAGAACAAGTCAATCAACCACCTCAGTTATATGTTGGCAATGAAAATACCGGGCAAATGGAGACGCTATGATGGACTATGTCGATCAATGGAATCTCCAACAAACACATCGTGCTTGCAGTGGTGAGAGTGGCAGTGATTCAGAACTGTTGAACTATCAAAACCACTTGGGCAGGACCCTCAGAGCATGCCCCACATCTGGGACCTGGGGTGAGTGGGAGACTGGGTGGGGCTTCTCCCTTAAAATCTCTTTTACATCAGATATATTAAGGAAACAATACGGAACTGATTGTCTTGCCCATCTTCCTGTAGTGCTTGAACCTGTTCACCTTAATTATGTCAAGATTGTAAAAAATAAATAAATAAATAAATAAATATTAGAAAAAAATACAAGTCCTGGTGTCATGTGTCTTAAATTCTTTTATTATAAAAAAAGGAAAAGTAAACTTTGTAATATAGTTTCTACTACATAGAACAATCAGTCCAGATAAAGCAAATTCAGGAATCTGATGTTCCCATTATTAAGAATGTACATAATAAATGTTTATATGTATTATGTTGCAAGTATTAAGGGAGGAAATGTCTTTTTTGAAAGTTTTATTTTCTAATTCAGGTCCCTTCTAATATTCCTTTTAAGTCTAAGATTCCTGTTCCTACACCTTGGTCCTTACTCCAGGATAGAAAGCCTTGGGGAATAGACTACTTTTCAAGACCACAGGATTACTATTAAAGTATGTGAACTTTGTGGGTTCAGAAAAAATATACCTTAAAGTTTGGCAACTGGGCATGTTGAGGACTTTGAACCAAGGGTCATCAGAAGGCCTGATAGGCTTCCAGCCTCAGACACAGAGCTCCCTGAAGGCAGAATGCCTTTCTGTCTCTCACTATTTTTTCCTCCCCTAATGCAAGTCATACAAATGGGTAATCTCCCAAGACTGATGATAAAACTAGAGCCTCTTTTACCATACATTTTAAAAAGTTATTCTAAACTTCCTCTACCTTTACCTAAGAAAGCTGTGCTTAGAGAAATTCTCTGACCTTCCTTGTCTTACTAGAGATTATAAAACCCTCACTCCAGAAAATGTCTTGGCCCATACCAAGAAAGAAGGAGCACTCCACAGAGAGGCCAGAAAAAGTCTGACCAGACAGGCCAAACTGGATGCCCCACTACTGAATATCACCTTTAGATCACACCCAGTTGTCCAACTTCTTTTCAACACAGCTTATCCTTGCTTCAAAGAACTAAACATAACTTAAACATAAAGGAAACAGTTGTTCCTGAATATTGGGTCTCCAAGAAGTTTCCCATGTTATACGAAGCCCTAATTAAATAAATTTATTATTGTTAAAAAAAAAGTTCTCTTTGACTTACTCTGAACTATGACACTTGAAACTAAGATTAAAGTATCCCTTACAGGCTAGCCTTACACCAAAATATGGAAACACCTCAACTGGCAAGCTCATATCACATCAAATGAGAGCTATATAACTTGTCGGCAGCAAGCTTAAGCTATTAATTCCTACTCCAGCCTAACTTTTGACCTATGTCTCCAGAATATGTTATTTTGCCATTTCTAACTCAATTTCCTCATATGAAAAACTAGAATTGGTAGCACTAATTCATCAGAAAGGGTACTTAATTATATAATTGAAATTATTTGTTACTAGTGCATACACTTCAATAAGTGCATGAGACCTGAGTATTATGAAAAATTATGAGCAAAACTTAAAAATTTTATGAACCCAACTAAAATTACCTTTTAATAATTTTTTCATTTGCTTTCCAAGTAACCACCTATACAATAAACATCGAGGAACAAAGCATACCACTAACCACATGTGTTTTATAAAGTCTATTTACCTAAACTGAAGTACACGGATATCCTTATAGCCTGGTAAGCCAAAAAATGCATTTTCAACCTGTAAAAATAAAAGTAGAAATCATAAATATGCAATACTGTAAAAAATATTATTTTAAAATAATATGCAATATTATTAAGAATACAATATGCAATACTGTAAAAAATATTTATTCAATTAATAAAATGGAGTTCACTATTTTCAACAAACAAGAGGCTGTCCACACACATATTTAGAAAGTTAAAATTACAACAGAATTTAAAATATTTTTACAATAATACTGACACATTTTTCTTTTTTAATTTTGTCCTTTAAGGTTTCAATGTGCTTTGAAATCAATTTCTCCAAACTGTAAAAACACCCTTAATGGCAAAATACTGTTTTTTTCCTTATGTGAAGAAATATAAAAAGTAGTATTCATTTCAGCATTTTTAAATATTATTGTTTGGAACAGAAATCTGGTTGCAGCACACGCTGACAGTCAAGTTCATGTTTTCTGTGTCAAAGTGTCTGGTGGCATCTGTTTCCTGCTTCTAGCATAGGACAATTACATGGTTACTACCACATGGAATCAGAATTTGAGAGAGGTCTACAATTCTGACTTAGCCACAGAATAGAGGCCTTTGTAGACTGGCTGTCTTGAGGGAGGGGATGAAGCTGTATCCATATCAACCAACTGGTCAAAGGGTCAGGCTACAGGAGCCAAATTTTTTATTGATTACTAAAACTTTAAATTCAAACATGGAACTTTCTATGAGCTTAACGATAGGAGGAGGCAAAACAATGGTATATCAAGCTACACACACACACACACACACACACACACACACACAAAAACATATTTTAATGAAATTGAACATTTACACCATCACACTTCAGTTGACTCACTGAATAGGTCACCACAACACCAGAACAAGAGAAATAAATTAATGGACTTTGAGGCCATTTCTGGGCATCTGCTTTTAACCAAGTTCTCAAAATCCCAGGAGACTGGGATTTTAAAGGAATCTTGGTTCACCAAAGATCTTCATGCCTTACAAATAAAAAATTCAAATCCATCAAACATCTTGGCAATACAAGTACTTTGCCTTGTTCTACTTTGAGAGAAATCATAGAGGTACGATAATTCCTGTGGGATGGAGGTAGGGGTGGAAGTTTCAGAACTAGGAATCAGAAGACTGAAGGTTAGTCCCAGAGCCCTGTTTTTGTTGGCAGAGCAACCATGCACAAATCTTCCTTTATAGAACAAATACTGCTGTATCCATCTGCCATTCGTTTTCATAAAATTAAAATAAATGTGCCTAAAAGTACATGTGTTATCCACATGTATGTTTTTATTACTAAGCCCATTTAGACCTGGACTTTGTCATCTAGTGCTTGAGTCTAAACATATTTAAGTATTCTAAATCTTTGTGTCCAGCTAGCTATTGAAAAGGGGCCCAGTTGCAAGTCATTCCATTTTATTAACACCAATACTAATAATAGGCACAATTTATCTTATGTCTGACACCTTATAATACTGCTTCCAATCCTTGAAACACTATATATATGGAGAGAGAGAGAAAATTATCCCAATTTTATCAATGACAAAAAGTGAGACACTAAGATGTCAACTAACTTGGACAGAATCAAACACTTGGTGAGTGAGGGGATCAGAATTTGATATCAACTCTCCCCAATTCTGAAACCTACATTGTTCTTCCTCCTTCTAACTCATAACAAATGCATTTTAGAATCAGGACCAGGCCCACGAAAATTGTGACGCTACCCTGAACTTTTCACCTTAAATAAAATGAAGGCGAATCTGCACAGCACCAAGACAAGAGCACTTAAAAAGTAGCAAGAGAACCAACTTGCCTCTTCATTTCCTAGAGAAACTGGAAGATCCATGAACAACTTATTTGATGACTTGAATGTCTCTGTAAATTGGAGGTGTTTATTCACATGGCTGCCGTGAGCACATAGCAATTAGTGTATAGAGCACGAAGCACGAGGCAAGGACATCACATTCTTAGTGTGACTGACTGCAGGGCTGACATTATCCAGGTCTCCCACTCGATTCCCTCCCAAGTTTTCATATCCTCTCCTCCTCTCACCTAACTTCTCATTGAAAAACAAACAAAAAAGGGGGCCTGGTGCGATGGCGCAGTGGTTAAGGTCCTCGCCTTGCACACCCGGGATCCCATATGGGCGCTGGTCCTAATCCCGGCAGCCCCACTTCCCTTCCAGCTCCCTGACTGTGGCCCGGGTAGGCAGTCGAGGACGGTCCAAAGCTTTGGGACCCTGCACCCACGTGGGAGACCCAGAAGAGGCTCCTGGCTTTGGATTGGCTCAGCTTCAGCCATTGCAGCCCCCTGGGGAATGAATCATCAGAGGCAAGATCTTCCTCTCTGTATATCCACCTTTCCAATAAAAATAAAATAAATTTTTTAAAAAAGGTGTTATAGTACCTGAACTTAATCCTCTCCCAGCAACTTGCTTTGTGTTGCCCCAAGTTTACCTGGGAGGAAATACTGATGGCACAACTTAAGTGACTGACAAGAGGGGAGAGCACTAGAGGGCCGGATTCAGTTTGCAGTAAATATGACAACAGGATCCTTCAGAGACAACACCTCCACCTCTGTGCCTCACTGACAGAAGTGGCTGTTGGCACTTCCCCCCAGTAAGAAGGAGAACAAGGGTTCAAACAGGCCAGAAAAGGAGGTGTGGACCCTGACACTTCATCACTTTCAAATCACCTAAGCCAATAGCTAGCTACCTACCTACCTCAAAAAGTCCTCATTGGAGATGTTTTACAGAGTTCTTATTACATTTCCCCTAAATATGCAGTCATTCCTTGCAATTGTTTACCCAAACATGAAGGCTTACTAAAGGTCCCTTAATCCAATGGCAGAGAGAACCAGACGGCCAATTCAAAACACTGTCTGATGCCAGACGGCCACTGGCCTGGCTAACATTTCTTCCACATACCATACAGACTTGCAACTTGGCCACACAGCTAGGAAAATGAATTGTCTGGCCTGTGCTCCCCATGTCTGATGGCTGCAATGATGTTGTTTGGCTGAGAAATGCACATTTTTATTTCCCATCTGGACACAGTGTCTGGGGAAGGAAATTAATCCAAGGTAATGGAATTGACAAACTTGGCAAAGGAGAACCCTACCAAGAGGGAATGGAAAAGAAATAAACAGGAAGAAATGATGCATCCTGTCATCAGAGAGGGGTAAATGGGCATTCAGTGCCTTTCTGCCCATGAGCAATGATACACCAGAAGGTGGCCAACTATCAAGAATTTTTGACTGAAAGAATCTTGTGTTCAAGTCTCATAAAGAATTCTTCCAGTAAGTAAAATGATGGGATGTACTAATTCATCTTTGTTTTAAAAAATTCCTTTTTGAAAATATTTCCAACTAAGAAATAGAAATAGAAAGAAACTATATTTTTTACTACAAACTCATTTATACCTCTAAATTTTGTCTGCTGTATTACCTATGTACCAACTACTCAGAATTGTTTAGTTTAAAAAAAAATACTAAAGATTAAATTTTTTAAAAGTAAATTTGTTTCCTAAAGAAAAACAATACACTAATCCATATATAATTCCTTAAACACACTGATTTCTTCAAGCATTATCCAGTCAGAATCATACCACAGAACACATTCTCCCTGGCAGTGCTGCTAGTCAGAAACAGCATTTATTTGTTAGAAGATGAAAGAATTTTGTTTCTGGAAAGAACTTATCTGTCCTGTGAACTTTTCACAGAGCCCTCTGGAAAAATGGCTATGTCACCACCCCAGGAACCAAGTAGATAAACAATTAAAGTTTTAAACCTCCATTTAAACACTATTGTAAATACAGAAAATTCTGCATCTATCTGTAGAAAACATTCTTCTACACAACACAGATAAGTCACATACCTCCGAAATAAACTCTTCTGCAAGGTGCTGATAATGAAAGCTGGAGGGATCCTGGAGCTCTTCCTGGTACTCTTTCCCCAAAAGGTGGATACTGAATTCTGCAATCTGTTCAGCTGCTGGTTTCGGGGGTTCATCTGTCACATCCTCAATTTCATTGCTGATCTGGATTTTCAGAGAAAAAAAAAAAAACAAGAAAAGTCATTTTTTTTTCATTCATTCAGCAAGAATTTCTTGATTCTTGATTGTACTGGACACAGCTAGAGCAACCTATAATGATGACATTTTCTATAGCATTTAACTTCAGAACAAATCAAGTAGACTTCAGTGCACAAGGCTAATGTTAAAATTGCCATACATTTGAATATTCTTTTAAATACACACTGGCCAGGAAAAGGTAGAATAGTTCCCAAAGGAAATCATCAAATGAATTGATTGTACTATAATTAGTCTTTAAAAATAGTCTAGAAGGGGCTGGTGCGATGGTCCAATTGGCTAATTCTCCATCTGCAAGTGCCAGCATCCCACATGGGTGCTGGTCCTTGTCCCAGCTGCTCCACTTCCCATCTGACTCCCTGTTTATGACCTGAAAAGGCAGTGGAGGAAGGCACAAGTCTTTGGAAAACCTGAAAGAACCTTCTGGCTTTTGACTTTCAATAAACTTAGCACTGGCCACTGCAGGCATTCGGGAAGTAAACCAGCAGACAAGAGACAATTCTCTCTCTCTGTGAAATATGCTTTTCCAATAAAAATAAAGAAATCTCTTAAAAAGCTAGTTGCTCTATGGAAACAGAAACCACATTCAAGAAACTTTTTGTAACATTAAAATCCCGGTCTTCCGGTGTCTAAAGCTGAAATGATTTGAGGAACAAAACTAACATTGGCCTGGTTAACATTCAGAGAAAGAGCAATTTGTGCTTGCTTCAGTAGCACATATGCTAAAATTGGAATAATACAAGAAGATTAGCATGGCCTCTGCACAAGAATGACAGACATTGGTAGCAGTGAGAATGTAAATTAGTGCACTCATTAAAGAGAATAGTGTAGAAGTTCTCAAAAATCTAAAACCAGTAGCCAGTACTGTTGCACTAGCATCCCATATGGGCACCAATTCTGGTCCCAAGTTCAGTTAAAATCCAGCCCCCTGCTAATGTACCCGGGAAAGCAACTGAAAATGGTCCAAGTTCTTGTACCCCTGTCACCATACAGGAGACCCAAAGAAGCTTCTCACTCCTGGCTGTAGCCTGGCTTAGTTCCAGCCACTACAGCCATTCAGGAAGTGAACCTGCAGATAAAAAACCTCTCTCTGAAATAAATAAATGCTCTTCTTGAATAAATAAATCATCTTTTTTCAAAAATCTGGAAAGGGTAATCTAACAATTCCGCTACTATGTCTATAGTCAAAGTAAATTCAATCAAGGTATTAATGTGCTGCATGTATATCTATTATTATTGTTATATTATTGAAGATATATAATAAACCATAGTGTCCTTAGATTATTGAAGAACTTTTTTAATGTGGTATATATATAATGTAATATTATTCAGCCACAAAAAGAAAGAAATTCTGGCTTGGTTGGGGCCAGAGTATATTATATTAAGTGAAATAAGCCAGGCACAGAAAAAGAACAAAAAGCATATATTCTCATTCATTTATGAAATCTAAATGTTTATTTCATAAAGAGTAGAAAGGTAAGCACTGGAAGCAGAGTAAGAGCATGGACAACACATAACAAAATGTAGTTACACAGAAAATATTGGCTCAATTCTGTTATAATCAAAGCAGCGATAGGCTATTTCTTTCCAAAGAAATAGCCAAATTCACAACACAAAGAAATTACAAATATTTAAGATGAAAACATTAATTAACTTGATTTGCTCTTACATATTGCAAATACATATCAAAATATAATACTGTGCTCCATATTGAGGATGTACAAATATTATGTTATTAAAATTTTAAAAACAAGAAAATGTAAAAGAGCAAAGCAAAGCCTAATGATGTGTAAGCTGCAATAAGTTGATCAGCAGATCCAGCTATGGTAACTGATGAAAATAACTACACTAACCAATAAATTTTCCATGTAGATGCATCTGCCTTATTTTGGAAGATGTCGTCTAATTCCTCCAAAGCTGAAAAAGTCAAGTCAATGCCTGTTTTCACAGCTTCCCATGACAGGCTTGTTGTCTTGCTCACAGCTAAGGCAGCTGATAACATTAAGGTGTCATCTATTCCAAAACACATAGTCTTCAAGAGCTGCAGTAAATATACTCGGCCTGGGCTCTATAAATGAAGCAACAAAGCCTGAATATCACACATGTGTTTACAATTTGGTTTTCATAAAAAAAATTGAAGCCAACTATTGAGAACTCGTGTTCAATATTAATGTTCTGGGACCTGCGTGATGGCTTAATTGGCTTGTCCTCCACCTGCAAGCACCAGCATTCCCTATGGGCGCCAGTTCATGTCCTGGCTGCTCCGCTTTCCATCCAGCGTTCTATTTATGACCTGAGAAAGTAGTTGAGGATGGTCCAAGGTCTTGGGATCCTGCATGCATGTGGGCGACCTGGAAGAGGATCCTGGCTCCTGGATTCAGAATGGCTCAGCTCTGGCTATAGCAGCCGTTTGGGGAGTGAACCAGCTGAAGGATGATCTTTGCCTCTCCTATTCTCTAAGAATCTGCCTTTCAAGTAAATAAGTAAATATGTAATTATTAATGTTGGAAATAATTACATAAAATCCCTTCAGTTCCATTATAGTAGCTGCCATCTCATTTTATGTTTCCAGACCTAAATCATAGTTTTTCTGCTTCTAGTTCAGAACCACTATCTTTTTTATTCATTCATTGGTGCCAGTATTTCTAGCCATATCAACTTTACTACAACTGCATTTCGGTTAAAAGTATTGATTCAGGCCTATACTGCAGGATTCCAAGTTACCACCACGTGCGTTCAGTGACAGGAAGGAGGAGAGGCATACTGGAATGACTTCACCTAATTGTGAATAAATTATAATGTCCAAGTTGGAAAGAGAAAGTGCAAAGTAAGTAAACTACTGTCCTAGTACATATAACATTAGAATTAGATTTATAGCCTAGGATTCTTTAACACCTCACATTTTTTTTAAAAGATTTATTATAATCTTATCTGAAAGATGGAGTTGCACAGACAAGGAGAGACAGTGAGAGGTCTTCCATCTGCTGGTTCACTCCCCAGATAGCCACAATAGCCAAAGATGAGCTGATCCGAAGCCAGCAGCCAGGAAATTCTTTCACGTCTCCAATGTGAGTGTAGGGGCCCACAGACTTGAGCCATCCTGTGCTGCCTTGCAAGGCCCTAAGCAAGGAGCTGGATCAGAAATGGAACAGCACCACAGGGAGAGGCTTAGCATGCTACGCCATTGTGCCAGCCACAAACACCCCAAATTTTAAAACAGAAAATCTAACAGAATGTTTCTATCTTCTCAGTGTTTATTTTTTTCTTCTTGTCAATCTGTATTATTTATGGTAGAGACTCAGTTATAAAATTTGCTGTTGCGTGGTGGCCAGGTTCCTGTTAGTAATGGTACATTTAAAAAGCAGGACAAGGGTTTGTATTTTGGCATGACAGTTATGATGCTAATTTTACTTTTTCTTTTTTATATTTTTTGTTACTATTATTGTTTCTTGATACAGTTTAGCTGGTGCTGGGCTCTCCCTTCCCCTCCCTTCTGCTCTCCCCTCCAGTTTCACAAGGTATGTCTTTCGTGAATTTTCCCAAGTCCATCATGCTGCTGCTGTTGTGTCTCCCAACCTTGTAGGGGACTGTAATTTCTTGTGAGTTCATTCTTGTGTCCTAGGGCCCTAATGCACGTACAATGAGGATTAAAAGATGCTAGTTATAAGGTCTGTACTACACATTGGAGTGCATAAGTGGTTCCATTTCTGATTCCAGTTTCCTGCTGAGGCACATCCTGGCAGGCAGCAGGTGAGGCTCTGGCACTTCAGTCTCGGCCACCCACCTGGGAGACCTAGAGTGAGTTTCCAGCTTCCAGCTTCAGCTGGGCCCACCTTCCAGTTCTAGGCATTTGGAGAAAGAACTAGCAAATGGGAGATCTCTGATTATCTCTGTCTCTCAGGCTCTTTGCCTTTCAAATGAATGAACAAAATTTTTAAAACAATCTTTAAAGATCAAGAAAGTTTTTTTTTTTAATTTTTTAAATTGCATACCTATACCCGTCTCCAGCAGAGAAGGATAAGGCCTGATACAGCAAAGACTAGACATGAAAAGTCCCCAGGGTAAATGATACCATGAGGCACACAAGAGGCAATGGGCTTACGCCAGTGACAGTTCCCCTGCCTTCAAGTAGTTGAGGAATCTTAGATTCATTTTAATGTGGTAGTTCCAGAATCCATGAAATTTCAGGAAGCCCTGTGTAGTTCAACAATGGGATGTAAACTCTGCCACCCTCTGTTTTCCATGCTAGAAACTAAGGAACATAAAAGTGTCACTCACACTCTCCTTTTCTCTTTCCACGCTGCTCTCTGAGGCAACTTCATGAGAAGCCACTGCTGGATCTGGAACCCTGAGAGCAGCACCTGAGTGGAACAAAAAAACCACATCCTTGACCACGTCTGATTTCAGAATCCACTGGGGGAGTGGGGAGAGTGGCAGAGAAGCATGGTTAGCTTCCTAAAATTGCATTTACTGTCACCACCGTGTGGCGACACTAAAATGACGACGAATCTCGAGGGCCTGAACCGCCACCACAACCACCACACACACACACTGAACGAACAACGAACACACACACAAACGTGCAGGCAAACAAGAAAGGAGAGAGGAATGAAAAGGGGCAGGTGCACGAAAAGGTTTATTGCCAAAAGTGGGCTGCTTATATACAGTTCTCCCCCAATCACTTCTCCCCATGGGTCCACTGGGTGCTACCTGATAGGCCAGGAGCAAAGACATAATCGCTAGCCTATCCCTGTGACTTCCTGTTTACTTGCTGGCGGGACAAATCCCGCCTCCTGGCCCTGGGCCAGCCGCCATCTTGTGACCGCCTGTCATACACGTGCGGTCGGCCGCTCCCCACAATTTATGAAAAACAAAAATCTGTTCTCTTCATATTAATAAAAAATGTTAAGCCCATTTCTAAAGTCACTTGTTCTTTCCTTCTGAAAATACAATGCACTCTAATCTGAAGATACATTCACATAGTTTTCTAAAACACAAAATAATTATGAGTCATTCCACAAATGATTATTGAACATTTACTATGTGCCACACTCTGTGCAAGACACTAAAATACAAAGGCAAAAGTATTATTTTTATGGACCTACCTAGTGAAGGGGACTGATTTAGTTAAACCAGATGGGAGACACAGAGAAAGATTGGAAATGGGCTATGAATCAGTATCTTTGGAAAATAAACCTCATCGTGCCGCACCAATTATTTTTGTATATCTTTGAAATTTCTTACAAAGAAGTGCTTTTGTTTTCTTAATTTTTTAAAAAAAAATAGCTATCAATTTATAAGAAATATAGAATCCAGAGGATGTATAAAACTATACATTCAGAAATATCCTAAGTCTGCAAATCACAGAAGAAAAAAAGACAATGATAAATAGTAGTCACAGTATATTAGCCTTAAAAGCATTCATATAGTTTTAAAGTAGTGTCCTAATTTATATTGTACCTAGCAATGAAAATTTTTAAGTACCCACAACAGGATATTATAATAAATGAAAATTCTTTTTCCTGAAATTTTGAGCAACATATGAAGAAACATCTAATGTTCTTTAAGCATAGGTTGAAAAAAATGTACCTGCTTACAATATTGTCTTAAGCCATAATTAACTTGAGAAAAATGAAAAAAGATACAAAGCATACCTCCCACTGTTGAAGTATGGTCTGAAGGAACTGGAGATGAAAATTCAGAGCTAGAAAAGAATGTTTGCAGTTAATAAAATAATAACATAAGCATTTATTTTGAGATTTGGAGTTTATTTTCCAAAAAGGAAAATACTAGATCACCAAATAAGTATTCCCAAGCCACAGAACTAAATACCAAAGCTAAAACTTTACAACTTTATAATTCATTTGTTTTACACTTAATGTTGTCTACTCAATAAGAATCACCTAACTGAAAGTACAAGAGTAATTAAAAATGTTTCTGCAAAAATCTAACTTAAAATGAAGTATATTTTGATACAAAAACGTGAAATTCATGCATATTTATCTCATAAAAAGTTTATGGGAAGTGTGTGCTACAAAAATTTACATATAGAAAAATAAAAAAAGCAAAAACTGAAATAAATATATAAAAATTACACATAGATTCTAGTTCTTTTGCATCAAAATAAACTTACATTTTACTTCAATTTTCTATAAGCTCTTTGAAGTGCGTGGTGCTTTACTAACTACGATTTCATCATCCTTTCTTTCTATTCAATTAACACTGTGAATTTTTTTTTAGTTTTTTTTGTTGTTTTATTTTTTTATTATAGTTTTGATCATTGTTACATAATTAAAAAGGTTCAAGGGCTACAGAAAAGTGGGTAAGACTATTATTTCTACATTGTTTCCTTCATGTATCTGATGTAAAAGGGGATTTTAAGGGAGAAGCCCCACCCAGTCTCCCACCCACCCCAGGTCCCGGATGTGGGGCATGCTCTGAGGTTCCTGCTCAAGTGACCTTGATAGTTCAACAGTCATGGATTGCTGCCAATCTCGCCACTCCAAGCATGATAAGGTCACTGAAGAATTCACTGATTGACATAGTCCATCTTAGAGTCTCTTTGCCCATTTTTTCACTGCCAACACATGGCTGAGGTGGTTGATTGACCTTTTCTATCCTCTGGCTTTTCATGGTTAGGGTTCTGAGTCCAGAAGTTCAATTGGGGAGATCCCAAAAGAAACTTTGTCTGAGGTGTTCCTAGACCAGATTCTTGTATGTACTAGCAAGTACAGGGCCCGGCAGAGTCCATCACCCCAATCAGCTGGTGGTTGCAATTGCTGGGTTGGTTCTGTTTCCAGCCCTGACTTCCTCTGGAACCAATAGGTGTTGCAGTCCAGCCTGGTTCTGCCCAGCACACACTCCACCCTCACATAAACCAGTGGGAGTTGCAGCCTATTCAGAGCAACCCACAATAACCCCAACCAGGCCCGCCCCCTACCCTGGTTTGCCAGTTTGTGCAACAGACTAGTCCAGTCTGTCCCATATCCCATCTGGCTCTTACACATGTCAATGGGTATCAAAGCTAAGTTCCATCTGACCACCTCCAAAATGCAGCCCACACAGATGCTGTTGGGTGTCTGTCTAGCCACTCCAGCCCCTGTCCTAGTTTTTGTGTCCTCCCATGGGAGTGGTAACCCAAGAGGGAGGAGCCCACTGTTTCCAGTCCAGGCCACTCCCACTCCTGGATTATGCACTCTCCAGGTGGTTCTGTGGTTTAACTTGACAGAATTAGCCCCCAGTGCCAGCTTCTGCCAGCTGATGCTGTGGCTAAGCCCAAACAACCCTCACCCACTCTAATGTTTTTTGTTTGGGTTTTTTTTGGCACCAGTAGGAACAATCAGCCCAGCCTGGCTTTTCCCTGATCTAGTCCACATGAGGCCAACAGGCACTGTAGCCCTGCTTAGTCTGGTCTGTCTCCTTTCCAGCTCACACTCTCCAGTGGGAGTAGCTGTCTAGCAGGGGAGCACCACTGTATTCCCCCTGCCGGCTCCACCCCCTTCCTTCCTTGTTCTCATGTGTGCTGGTTGGGCGCTGTGGTCACATCCATTACAGGTAACCTCACCTTGGCATTCCGTAATGTGCACTGGTTTTTGTCACGACCAAACCTGGCACAACCCACACTCTGTTCTGGTGCTCTGACTCGAATTAACACTCTGTGAAATTATGTTGCTTATTTACCTACTTTATCTCTGTCTTAAACCCCTTAATCATCTAGAACAATTTTGAGTAATATGACAGCACCTGGACATATGAAATCAATTTACATTGTTTAAAATTTTTTAGGTAGAAACTTCAGTTTCTCATCCACAACCATCACACCTCAGGTGCTCAGCAGTCACTTGTGGCTAACAGCTACCACACTGGACAAGACAATGACACATGTTTGTATTATCGCAGAAAGTTCCACTGAACAAGACTGCATTAAACTTCTAGACTCCCTGAGATTAAGAACCTTTTCTGTCATAGTTCACTTGATCCCAGAAACTTCACTCTAACCCACCTTAATTCATTGTTTCATGACCTCCCTCTTAAGTGACCCACACCATTTAGAAGAATTTTACATGTTTTCAATGACAATGACCTATACAAACTAAATGACTAAAAACTCAGAGTGTGTAGCACCCTGGCAAGAGCAAGGAAAAACTAGTCAAACCTGGAACCTATGGAAAGCAACCCGGGATGAGCACAGGAGACCAAAGATGAACACACAATACAGAAACTAAAACAGGATGTTGAGACAGGATGGCAGGGAAAGAAGATCCCACTGCAAGTGGGCCAAACTGTTCCCCACAGCAAACTCAAATGTAAACTAACCCAGTGTCAAAACAGAGACATTAGCCTACTTCAATGGAACTCAGTTTTACCTAAGTTCAAAATAACACTATCATTCCAACACTTAATCCTCACCCTCACATTCCTAATTCAAAAGACACTTAAAAACACTTAACAAGAATCCTTTCACATGTTCTCATTAGCTACACCTTCTGCAAGAATCTCAAAATGTCACAACAGCTCTAGAACACACAGTGTATTGAACTGAGAAACATTTCTGTAAAAGCCACAAATGGGAAGTTTCCAACTAAGACCTTTAACTTAATAAAAACAACAAAGAACACCATTCTGTCTTGTTTTCTCAGCTCACCCAGCACATTATTCATTTCTTACCAATAACATCTAATTAAGTTAGTGGAATTCAGGTGACATTGTGAAAAAAGAAGGTACTACATAGCTACATGGAAGTTAAATTTGAAAACATTATGAAAGAAATCAAGAATAATTTCAAATTTAGATGACTTCTCCTAATGATTTTTGAGTGTTCTTTATAAAACATTGATTGATTTCAAAAGCAGACTTACACAGAGATAGAAATCGAGAGAAAGAAACTGAAACATTCCACCTGCTGGTTTACAACCCAAATAGCCACAGTGGCCAGGCTGAAACCAGGAACCAGAAGCTTCATCTGGGTCTCCCATGTAAGTGTAGGGGGGGGTCCAAGTACTTGAGCCATCTTTCATTGCTATCCCAGGCAAATTAACAGAGATGATCAGATATCCACATGCAAAAGAATAAAGGCACATAAAACTTTTTAAAATATACCATTTTAATGGAATATATTTAAATGATGGTAATTTGGTATGTGTATTCAATTATGATGACAAATGGGAACTGATTTAGCTTTGCCAGCCATGACAGGTATCAGCTACTAATTTCGGTTAAGCAATGCACAAAACCCAAACCAAAAAAGGACGTAGTTGAGAGGGTCTCCAATTAAGGTGGGGAAGGTCAAGCTATGGAGGAAGATGGGTGGGACAAATGTTTCAATTTTTTTTTCCTGTCTACAGTGGTGGATGGTGAAGGGGTCACTCCTTTCTGTCAAACAATATCAGCATCCAGAGATGGGGGAATGGTCCTTTTATGACTCATGAGAGACTCCAATGTGGTGAAGAGTGTTCTGAGGGTGGTACTTAAGTGGTTTTGCTAGTTTTGAGATGTCATCAGCTTCATTGCACCAGGTTCAGGAAATCTTTCCAAGGTCTATAGGCTGCCTTATTGCATCAACAGACACAGAATTATATTGCAAAGTTTGGCCAGGAGAGTTGTCTAACCTGTTCTGCATTTCATCCTCTGACAATCTAGATAAACTGATTGTCATGTCTGCCATGTGCATCTGAGTATGCTGTCAGACCTCATATCTTGTGATTTTTCTTGTGATCAGGGTTTGAGTCCAACCACACAGCTGCGAAGTCCCCCAAGAAACCTTGTCTGAGATGACCTCAGACTTGGCTCTTATGTAAGCCAGACAGTACAAGGTCAGATTTGGTACATCACCAACACACATATCAGTGAATGCAACTGCTTGGTCAGTTCCACCCTCAACCCCAAATCTCAGGTGAACTGATGGGTGCTGTGGCCTAGTCCAGCCCAGCCCATAATAGGCCCAGTCTTCATTCACACCAGTGCTTCCACAGCCCAGTTGGGGAAATCCACAGTAACTGCCCCCATGCCTAACTGCACCCATACTCTTTGAGTGTGCTGTGCCCTAGCCCAACTCTTGCACATCTCATCTGGATCTCATACACACCATGGGTGCTGTAACTTAGCTTCAACCTGACCCATGTCCAGACCCAGCTCACACTTATGTTAATGGGTGCTGCTGCTTGTCTAGCCTAATTTGCTACCAACCCTCACTAATAAAATCAAAATTATAACATTAAAGAATTTAATATTATGTACTCCCTATGCTTTATGACTAAAATCATAAATAATTAAGAAAGTAACCTATCTTACTACCCATCAATCAATATCCTGACTATGGTGTGTCATTTTATAACAGTTTCATCATTAGACTTAAAACTTCAACAAGGGACTCTTCCATATAAAGCATAAGTCTGTTTTCTCACTCAATGAAGAACAAGGTGGCCCCCTGGTAGGGTTAGATGGTAAGCAAGTATAGTAACTGTGGCATGGTTGGAAAGGAAGTAGACTCAAGATGAGGAAGAGCATTGTGACTGACTTACAGCCCTGGTGGTTGCAGGAACTGGCAAGCAAACAAAAAAGGTGTCATGAAATTTGGGGTGAGTCTTGGAGTAGGCATAACACATCTAACTTGCCAAACATGAGTTTAGGAAAAAGGAAAGACTCACCTGCTTACAGTTTCCTTTGCGGAAATCAGTTTCTAAGGAAAACAAAGTCATAAAAAGGAGTGAGTTAATAACACTTATTAAGTACCAAAGCAAAATTATTCCTTAGAGAATACTGATGCTCTAACATCGTAGGATGTAAATCACTCTTCTCTAATTCTTCATGGTTAGAAAAATGAGGAGCACAAGAAGGTACCAAGGAGGTAAATATCCTTTTAAATGTTAGACTGTCCTGACACTCTCTCTTAGTGAGAACAGACGGACTTCACTTGTTAATCATTCCAAACAGGTCTACAAGTTAAAGATTAATAGAATATTACACTAGTCTGTTGTGGATTTAGAATCAAAGAATTTTGTGATCTAAAGTGTCTAGAGTAACTCTCATGCTAGAATAATATTAAACTTTGTACTAAATACTGGTAAGTTTGTTTCTCCAAACTCAAGATAAAACTAAAAAATCATGTTAAATTAAGAATGTGAATTATTCTTTATGCAAATTATACTCATGTGCTCTAATTTAGTGGAAGATCCAATGTTAAGTTTCAATTCTCCTTCCCTAGCTATATATACAAATTCCAGAATCTTTCTGGCAACAAGTCTTAATTAACTCACCTATAAAATAGAAATCTTATTTCCCTACTAATGATACATAGAATTTCCCTCTAATGACACATAGAAATGACAAACTGCTCTTCTTCTCTACGAAGAAAAGCCACTGTCATGATTTCTATTTCAGTCTCATGGCTGTTATTCCTACAGCTCTATCTATAATTGGATCATCCCCCTTGATTTCCATTTAAATATCAAACTCACCTCATACAATCAGCTCAAATGAACACATTCAAACTGAATTCACTCTCTCTGTCATATTTACAAAGCTGCTTCTCTACCTGAATTATTGGCCTTGATCATCCAAACTAGAAACTAGCAGGTTTTCCCAGGCCATTCCTCCACTTAATCCCATTCCCATCTAGTTCCATCAGAGCCCTACTATTAGTGTGACTTTCCTACATTTTCCACCATTCCTTTTTTTGTCTCACGGTGTAATTAGGACCTGTATTCTCCATCAATCCATTTGGCCAAATGCTAAAAGAACATAATGGCAAGGCTCTACTAGAAATAAAAATTTAAAATTAGAATGGGATATTATGTTTTATTACTGTAAGGTATATTGATCTGATTATACCTAAATAAAACCATCTGAAGTTAATTACAAAAAAATAATTTCCTTAGCTCCCCTTTAAGTATCCAATACTTATAGCTAGCATTCAAACCTTCTAATAAAGTTTATGCATTTCAGCAATAGGAAACACATTGTCGTTATTGCTTCTATATTTTTATTTCAACAAATACCTGATGCATATATACTACATCAAGGGATATAAAATGAACAGAGACTAACATAGTCCTCTATCTTTTGACTCACAGTCTAGCAGAATAATTATGCACTTATACAATTAATAATTATAAAACACAAGAAGCATATGCTAAAGAATAAATAAAGAATTATGGAAATATATGGCATAAGAGCTATATCTAGAACTAGATTGGTTCTTTACAAAGGAGTGAACCTGTTAGCTGAAGATATACATATATGTGGGAAAAACTCAACCCATTAAGAACCGATCACTCTTCTTTGTAAGAGAAAACACACAAGCCTTTCCTGACACACAGGCCTTCCGTAGGCTGCAATCACAATACAGGAAACAGAAGCAAGCACAGATAAGTTGCTCCATACATCTGAAGAGTTTCATTTTATTATCATAAATATATGCATGCTATATGAAAAGGTAATGTGTCTACAAAAATTCTTATTTACAGTTTTGCTAAGAGTAAACTATGTCAGAAACAAGGAAAATGAGCAAAGAAATCATTAATTAGAATCTTATGTTTCTCTAAAAATACTTAATGAACTATGCCCTCCATCTTAGAGGTACTAGCATCCACTTTGAATTGATATACAAAACTTTGCCCAAAATACTTCTTATCAGAATATTCTTACTTATATTCTTAGCCTCAACCTTTATGAAAAATTATGTTTTAAAAGTTACATTTTATAATGAGTTTAAGCTGTTATCTGAATTGAACATATTTATTATGAAGTTCAGAACTAGGGATAAAAGCCTACACCACATACTAAGGTAGCTGACTTTAAAAAGAATTTTCCTGCGTTCCTACAGTAGTCCAACAATACCTTCCCTCATTTCAACACTTACCTTCATGATTAAGCTTCTATGTTCCAAGGACTGACTAAAATGTGTGCCCATTTCAAAAATACTTGTGATTCCATTCTCACACAAATCCATCCAGTGACGATATTCCTCATGCCCAGGAAGTCGATCCCAAAAAGTCCTGAAGGCTTCCCAGACAGCTTCCTGACACACTGGAAAATGAATAGAGATGGGTTGAGTGAATAGCTAACACACTCAAGTGCTCACATGATCATGAACCAATTCCCCTGACACTCTCTTGCCTATGGAGTCCTACCTGTAGGTCCTTCTGTATGCCCATATTCTACGTTTTAGTTATAGAGAAAATGTGTACTTGCCAATGGTGATGGCATTTGAGTTGGAAGATTGATGTGACTTGCAAGTATACTGGACCTTTGTTAAGCACCCCTCTTTTTTATTTCCTCCTATGAGCACCAAGGTCCTGATATTTCCCTCCTTTTCTATGTGGCAGCTTTGTGGGGAATGGGCATGCATTGGAATGCCCCCCTTTTCCTTATTAAGAGAGGTAATTATTCCTATGGAAATTATTAGTTCAATCACTCCTCTGGATTTGAGGACTCACTTACATGGGTGAACCTTAGCTCCTTGAATTTTAAACCCATGTCCGCCTGTGTTATCCCCCCATTTTTCTCTCACATACAGGAAATGCCTCTGAAGTGAATTACACCGAGGTCAATTGCACCCTAACAGCATGTTGGAATGACAATGGTGATACTGCTGCTGTAATGCGGCTACCCAGAATCCTGCCTGTGCCTGTCAGGGCTAATGGAGAAGCCTCTGTTGGCCTGATAAGGCATAAGAGACTTTGGCATAACATCGACCACCTTAGCATTGCTGTGGCATCGGCAGCCACTGCCGCAGCAGTGGTGACCCTAGGATACCTTAGAGCTATTGCAGAGACGGTGAACAAGCTCGCAGAACAGACAGCCTGAGTTACAGAACAACAAAACTTTATTGATGAACCGTGCAGGTGGACATATTCACGTTGTAACAGCAGGTGGATTTGTTGACAGAGGAACAGCAAATGCTGTGGGATATGGTCAGGGCCTCTTGTTCCCCATCATATGTCTTTATGTGTGTAACACCTGTGCAAGTGCAAAATGTTTCCCAAGCCCGGGAACTGCTGACTGCTTATTGCTACTGCGTTAAAGATACATCTAGCCATGGAACAGGGCCACCAGCCTCCCCAAGTATGGTTTACACAGCCACAGCAGGCAACGTGTTGAATGGCAGCCAGTGACAGGTAAGATGGACCAGGCACTAACCAACCTAAGACAGGGATTCCGTCATGCTACGGAGTTTCCCAGTGACAGGTAAGGTTAATGATCTGAGAGTCCACAACCTAAGAAGGGCGCATTCAAGTCTCCTTTAAAACAAAAAAGGGGGGCCTGTTGTGGGATAAGGAGTTAATTAGCATTCCATTAAACTGAGCAGGAACAGGAACGGGGTTTGTGGCTAAAAACACCTAGACTAATTGGACTCAGCTGTATCCAATTGCTTGGCTAAAGGACTTGGGGAAGAGTATATAAGGAGAGGTGAAAGAGTAGTAAAAGAGACTTCTACCATCACTGGTCTGCTGTCGGTGTTTCCTCCCCAGACCCTCTCCCTGTCCACATTACTGGCTCCACTGGCCGGAGCAATAGTGAAGGAAAGTAAATGAGTCCAGTCCCAGCCATTATGGCCATCTGGGGAGCAAATCAGCAGATGAAAGATCTATCTCCCTCTCTTTTTAGCACTGTCTCTCCCTCTTTCTCCATAACTCTATGCTTCAAATAGATGAATAAAATTATTTCAAAATGAAAATAAAGCAAATAAGCAGCTCCCCATCAGTACTAGCCAAAGGCCAAAGAAGAGATGGTAAATGGGAAAATAATACCAAGGGTCACAAAGAGTGGTTACAGAGTCATAGAAAAAAATCTTCATTTTAATCATAATAGGGGTTTCAAGCGTAAATACATTTCAAAAAGTAATAAATTGTATACTTTAAATATGTGCAACCTATGAAGGAATTTTCAGGGCATACATAAATAAAATTGTATTTTAAAAGATCCAATTTAAAAAGGTCCAACTAAAATATGATCTCTAACCAAAGAAAGACACTTTAATTATATTCTGCTCCAAATGCTCTGCTTAATTTTGCAAGTCAGTAAGTTACACACAGTTGTTTCTTGCTTAAATGGAGACACTTTTCACATTTTATATCAACTAGAAATTAATGTCAAATACTCTATAAAGGCAAAATTGGGCAGACTACTAAAAATGAGTTAACTTGGTAGAGTTAGGATCCTTGGCTGGAGACAGAACAGACTTCTCCATCCAAATACAAAATTGCATATTTTAAAGTCATAATCAATGATTAGGTGTTTGGCCTACTGATTAAGATACTGATGAGGACGCTGGGCTTGGTTCTCTGCTCTCACTCTTGATCTTGATTTCACTTTCCTATTAACATAACCCCTGGAAAGTAGTGATAATGCCCAAGTAGTCGGGGTCCTGCTGCCCATGTGGAGGATCTAGACTACACATCCAGCTCAGGGCTCCAACTCTCAAGCTGTTGCAGGTATCTGGGAACATATATGCTTGCTGACTCTCTCTCTCTCTCTCCTCAAAAAAAAAAAAAAAAAAAAAAACTCTCAAAAGTGAAAAAACAAGATTATCACTTAGAGATGTTCTAACAGCCACCAAACTATATAAAAACATTTAAAAAGTAGCAAATACATAGCACCATTTTTTAAAAGACTGATTTAAAGGGAGAATGAGAGAGAGAGATTTATGGAGGGAAGGAAACAGAGAAAGAGAGACAGAGAGAAATGTTTAATTGGTTCATTCCCCAAATGGCCACAACAGCCAGATCTGAGCCAGGCTAAAGCCAAGATTCAAGAAATTCATTCAACTCTCCCACATGGGTGGCAGGGACAAGTACTTCAGGCAACATCTGTTGCTTCCCAGGCACATTAGCACAGAGCTAACTTTGAGGTAGAGTAGCAAGAACTCAAACAAGATACTACCATATGGGATGTGAGCATTCCAAGCCATAGTTTATCACACTGCACCACAAAGCCTGACCCCACTATATCATTATAACACAGAAATATATGTTTATATACACACATCATCTGATACTAAATTTCTTTATTTTAAAACTAGTAAGGCAGAAGAAAAAGAAAAAAAACAGTACAAACGGAAGATTTTTATATCCTACTGCCTAGAAAGTAGTATGTACTCAGTAGATATTTGTTGGATAAACAAATGCCTGATTTCACAATGACCCTGTCATCTATTTCCACTTTAGCTTACTAATGTCACATCCATATGCTTTTTATTGACTGTTGAGCAGCAAAAAGTGAAAATTTTAAATCTTCCAAATGTCTATGAAATTCTTTAATGGTGAATTAAGCAATGTTAATAAATATGATAAACAGAATAAATTCATATCATAGTGTTTTAGCAAAATAAAATCCAAGTTGTTATTTAGTGCTGTTAAAAATGCACCATCATGTTATACATGCAATATTTACTAACTAGAGAAATCCTGCATGAATCTGTGGAATGTTTAGACTACAAAATAAATTGATTCATCTTAATGTAAATAACATAATTAAACATGCAGGTAAGCATATATTGGTAAATACATTTGATGGATCTAGTTATGCAAATTAATGTCAGTATGAACATTAATTTATCCAGAAAGAAAAAGCATTATTTTTAAATGCTTAAAAAGATGTGTATTATTTCTTCCACAATAATGCAAACTTTTCCTGAAATTATCTAACACTATATTTTTAGTGTTAGATATACCTACACTATATCTTTTAGTGTTATGCTTTTCTCATAGCTAAAAAAAAAAAAGGATAGTTGGCTCAGTTCTGTCTAAATTATCACAAAGTTTTATTTCTAATAAGAAACAATAAAGGGAAGAGAGTTATGTTAGAATGTCATTGTAGAGCCGAAAGAGTTGGACGTTTAGTTACCTCGGACTTTAAAATACTTCACATGGTTTGCCACTGCCTCTGCAACACTTTCATCTGGGCACATTTTCACTCCATTGGGAAAAAGAATGGCTCGCTGCCTTCTGAGTAATGATCGTCTCTCAGCTTGTCTGTGGTCCAGAGGCTGTTTCTTTTCCATTGGTAGAGAAGGTTCTGTAGAATCTTCAGACAAGAGAAAAGAAATTGCAGTCTTGGGGTCCTGGATCTCAGCTGAAGTTACAAAGGTTGATGCTACACAGTGACAACATACCAGTGCAAAATGCAACAAAGAAAATTAGAAACTTGCGCCACATCAGATTTTGAAGGCAATGCTGAGATTATAAACTGGCACACATAATAAAGAAAAGGGAAGCACATAATGTTCTTCCCATGTAATTCCTATTTCTGTAAGTCAAGATTTTTATCATCTTGATAATATATCCAATTTCGTCGGCCATGGCGCCGGAGTCTCCTCAGTTGCCGCTTCACAAAAGAGGTACCAGGTCTGCACCGAAGGCGCACACAAGCAGCACCAGGAGAGGCCAAAAATATATCCAATTTCATAGAGAAATACTAGGCACTAACACTCAAACCAGAAATTAGTATTGACAAGAGAAAGCTAAAACTATTAGACATATAAAAGATTAATTATTTATTCACCTTATAGAGCAGTCAAATAAAATAATGCTATTTTGAAGGGAACATACTACAGATAGACAGAATAATTTAAAAAGAGATTTTTAAATACCTGTAAATGATGGAAGGTCTCCTTCTATCAGAGTAAATATCAAAATACCCAGAGAAATCTTTCCAAAAAGAGGAAACATAATCATTTGGGCTAAAAACTGAAGGCAACTTGAGAGGGCAGAATCTTCAATTCAGAGTCCAAAGCCTTAAAGTTTCCAATAACAAATTGTTACACCAAAGTGCTAACATTTAAATTTTTATGTTTGACAATGAACAAGCACTCCAAAATCATTTTAAGTCACTGTCAATTAAAAAAAAAAATTCCTTTCAAAGTAGCTGTCACCTCTTTTCTGAAATAACCAGCAGGAAGACATATGAACAGGAGACATAAGCTAATTAGAACAGATGGGGCAAGACAATTTCTCTAATCTAGCTAGCTAAGCTCTTTACGAACACTCTCCTTGTCTTCGACGAGTTCATTTAAGAATAATATGTCCCATATCCATTCCCTGCCTGTTTCCAACTTTTCTGAATCTGTCTGTTGAACTTGATTCAGTCCCTTGTGCTTTGGATTCACTTAGGATCTAAACATAAATTAAGTAATCAGAAAATATCCAGATTGATTATACCTACTGCAATAATACAGAGCTCCATACAAAACAAAATTAGGTTTCCTGTAGTAAACCTACTGTTTTATAAGTATTCATCTTTTGTAAAAAATTTTAAAACTTTCCAGTCTTAAACTTCCTTTCCTATGTATAAGATGGGAATAGTAAAAACAAATTCATAGCAGAGATGTTATGAGGATTAAATTAACTAATTTAATCCCTTCCACAGTATTAAAATAGCACATGGCACATGCTAAGCGCCTAATGCAAAAGATAGCTATATTATCGATGCTGCTTAATTTTCTAGCAAATTGTAGGCCTTCATGTATTTATCTGCATGAGGAAGGCTTAACAAAAAGAGATTTACTTCAAAAAATGACATCAGATAAAAATCTGATCAGTACAATTGATTTTATCAACTAATAGAAAGCAATTAAATTAGTCAAAATCATAGTGGAAGCTAGGATATTCTATGAAGTAACAATGATTTTACATTTTGCTTTATGCATCTCTGGAGATATTTAGGTGGAAAAGTTTTTTAGATCAAAAATACATTTCTCCTGAGAGCCTAACCAATTATGTGGATATATAATACTTTAGGTAAGTTCAAGTCATATTTGAATGAATTTGAATAGATCCTTAAATAAACCACAAAAAGCTGACACATCTAAATTACCATGAGACACATGTGTGTAGTTGCATTTGCAATACATTAGTAAGTCTATAAGAAATTTATCTGTCAAATTTCACTGCATGAATGGGGAAAAACTCAAAAGTTGTTATTGGCCAAGCTGAGTTAGTCTTCTTTTCCATTTTTCTTGATATTTTTTACTAGTATTAAGAGAACAGATTTTATGCATTCCACAGATACAGTTCCTAGACAACTACCAAAATTCTGTCACTCCCTCTTCTTCCTCTGATTCCCCACCATCACTGCCCTCTCTTCATCTGCTTTTGCAGATATAATTTTAACAAGTCTATATTCACAGTCTTAATTCACTACTAATCATAATCCCCAAAAAGAAAAAGGAGTGAAATCACACAGTTTCACAGCAGTATAAACAAGGACTAAAAGTGAGTCATAACCCACCATGATTATCTCATTAATATATAATTTTTTATTCTATATTAACTGCCACACATCAGAAGACATCTCTGGGTTTTTTTTTAATATTTACTTATTTATTAATGGAAAGTCAGATACATAGAGAGGAGGAGAGACAGAGAGGAAGATCTTCCGTCCGATGAGTCACTCCCCAAGTGTCCACAATGGCCAGAGCTGAGCTGATCTGAAGCCAGGAGCCAGGAGCTTTTCTGAGTCTCCTACACAGGTGCAGGGTCCCAAGACTTTGGGCCGTCCTTGGCTGCTTTCCAAGGCCACAAGCAGGGAATTGAATGGGATGAACCAGCGCCCATATGGGATCCTTGTGTGAATCGTTAGGACTTTAGCTGCTAGGCTACCGCACTGGGCCCAGAGAAAGTCTTTTTGATACCAGCTTATTTATGCATAATAATTTCCAGTTGCATCCATTTTGTTGCAAAACACATGATTGAATTATTCTCTATGATTGAGTAGTATTCCATAGTGTATACATAACGTATTTTTTTCCAGGTATCAGTTGACAGACATATGGGCTGATTCCATATCTCAGGTATACTGAATTGAGCTGCAACCAACATGGGAGTACACATAACTCTTCTACATGTTTATTTCATTTCACTTCAATTCCCAGGGTTGGCCTATCTAGGTCATATGGTAAATCTATCCTCAGATCTCTGAGAAATCTGCATATTACCTTCCATTGTAGTTACACTAGTTTATATTGCAAAAAAAGCGTCATGATCACAAATCAAAACAGGGAAAGATTTTAATTAATGAGCATTGATTGGAAATTATTCCTTTCAAACTATGAAAAGGTGAAAAACCTTCCAAAGATAACAGCAATCTGGAAACACTTTTGTGCTTGAGAAAAATGAAGATTTGATTCTTGATTTTACCCCTGAGTTTTTTATTTCCAAAACCACCTAAGCTATTTGAGCTGGTGTATTCACTCAATACATTAACTGTAATCACTCTATCTACATAATGATATTATCAATAAAGATTAAGAACAATAAACATTCTTCGTAAAGTAATGTATCATGTGCTCGTCATTGGAGTTACAAAGCTTACGTTTTCTGTAGCTTTGGGATTCTCATTTGTCCAAACTCCAGAATTCAAAAAACAAATAAGTCCCTATAACATAGAGAATGTATCTGATATAAAATATGGTTCATAAGATTTCAGAAACATGAACTTGAAAGAACATGAATAACTTGGCCTGGGGGCAGAGATCAAGATCTGAGTGTGCAAGATCTGGCCTGTGCTCAGCATCCAGGTCACGTGTGACTCCAACTTACTGCCACACATGGTCGCAGAAACAGCAGACAACGGCTCAAGAATCAGGTCCCTGGAAGCCCAGCACAGTAGCTCAACTAGTAAGTCCTCCACCTCCAAGCACCAGGGTCCCATTTGGGCACCAGTTCATATCCAAGCTGCTCCACTTCTCATCCAGCTCCCTGTTTGTGGCCTGGGAATTCAGTAGAGAATGTCCCAAAGCCTGGGGACCCTGCACTCACATGGGACACCTGAAAGAGGCCCCTGGTTCCTGGCTTCTGGCTTTGGATCATCTTAGCCCCAGTCATTGCAGCCATTTGCAGAGTAAACCAGTGGATGGAAGATCTTTCTTTCTCTCCTTATCTCTGTAAGTCTGCCTTTCTGATAACTATAAATTTTATTTTTAATAATTAAATTATTATATAATTTTTTAAAAAGTATTTTAGGTCTCTGCCATCCACATGAAAACCCAGATTGAGTTTAGGCTAGATCTGACCAAGGCTAGTTGTTGCAGGCATTTGGGGAGTGAACCAACAGATGGAATTATCTTTATCTCTGCCCCCATCCTCACTCTGTCAACTAAATAAGAAGTAAGTGCAAATTAAGGTATACAACTCTATTGTTTAAGAAATCCCTGAGCCTTAGTAACTGTGTCATTAAAAATAAAGAATTTATTTAAAAAGAAAAAAAACCAGTTCATCTGGGTTTTTTTAGATAAGCTCATGATTTTATAAATATTTTAACTTGGTAGTTTCTATATTTGTAACTTTAACTATAGCATTTTTAAAACATCAAACCAATGACACAACGCAGTAGGCAATGATGGCAATGTTTGTGTCAAATACAAACCAAAAAACAAAATTAACTCCACCTAGAAAAAAATATATAGTAGGACTTGCTGGAAAAGAAAACATTACAGATGGTCAAGAATGGCCCAAATGCCACTTCAGTAGACAAAGATAGGAGGTGGTTAGTGGGAAGAATTAAGAGTTAGACAAGAAATTCCTGCTATAAATAATATGGACAAGCATATTGTTTTTTACAAATACTTCCTAAACCAGGAATGGTATAAAGATTAAACAGATTAGAAATGAAGGCTAAAGATGCAATTGGACTAGATTATAGAGTATTTTGAAAATCCTGGATTTTGAGCTATAAATCAAACTGTTTAATGACTCAGAAAAAAATATCCCTTGAAATTTATATAAGGAGATTTCTTCTGGGAAATATTTTATGAACTTTGTTATAATTCAAGAGATGTCCCCAGATCATAAGGCTATAAGAAAACAAACAAAACTGTGTCCTTTACAGGTAACAAGTACCAGATTGATTCCTTAACCCATTTCTAAATCCAAATAGCTAAGGTTCATTTTATTCAGAAAATCTGAGAGTTTTCTATGTGTAACTAACACACTAAATATAGTTTTTGAAGATCTTACAATCTAAATAAAACAGTATAAAACAATGTCATAACAATTAGATAGCTACATATAAATTGTTTTATGGGACTAGGAAAGAGAAAAAATTACTCTGAGCAGGTGTGAAAGAGTCTACATTTGAGTAGGAGTTCACAGGAAGTAGTGAATGAGCATTGTTGGAAGAGAGAATGGTATGATAAGCTTTGCGGGAGTGGCAATGCAACATTCACACTCACAGGACAATCTGAAACATGGCTTCAGGATTATTTTATAGAACATAGCAGGAAAAAAAAAAACAGTGTTGGCACAATAGTTTCAGGTATATCTTTATTTGAAAGCATGTAAAGGAGTCCTGAAGGATTTCTTTCGCACTCAGAAGAGACACACGCAATTCAAACAGAAGTCAGTGGAGCAGAAGAAAGTCCTATACACAGAACTTCGTCTTTCAACACTCTGTGAGCAAAACTTCTACAGGACCAAGCTCAGTTACAGGACACACAAGTAGCAATCTTCACAGCATAAATGCATAATGTTACATGACTAAAGAGTAGAAGACAATGGAAAGATGAGGCTCAAACCACAAGCCTAGATCTCTTTCCTCCTCACATAAAAAAGGATAAACTGATCTAAAGAGGTAATAATCTTCTTCTGAAACCTAGTAAAGAGACTGGATATGAACTTTAGTTTTAAAAAAGTTTCTTTTTTCTATCCCAAGAGTTGTGTTAAAAGGAGTAAAAGGAGTATCTTCTTTACAAATGTTTTCACTGTTCTCGAACAACCCTTTCCTCACCTCCCAACTTGGTCATTTCACACACACACACACACACACACACACACACACACACACACACACACAGCTCCCCTTGTGTTCCCAAGGAAGCCCTGAGTGTTGTAATCAAAGATTTAAAAGAACTCATATGCTCATAAAGAAAATTCAGGAATAAAGGAGAAATGGTTCTATTTGCTGGCCCTAGCAAAATGGTTACTGGTGGTAAATGCTAACAAGATTTCCCTGAGGGCAGCCATTGCGGTGCAGTCGGTCAGGCCTCCTCTTAGGATATCCATCTCTCATACTGAAGTGCCTGAGAACAAGTCTTGCTTCTACTTCTAATTTCTTCCTGCTAATATACCAAGGAGAGAACAGACAACAGCTCAAGTGTTTGGGTTTCTGCAGCATGTGTGGAAGACTCGGAGTTGTTGGCTGCTGGCTTTGCCCTGTCCCAGTGCAGACATTATGAGCACCTGGGAAGTAAAAAAGCAGTTGAAAGATTCTCTTGCTGTTCTGTCACTCTGCCTTATAGATAGATAGATAGATAGATAGATAGATAGATAGATAGATAGATAGATAGATAGATAGATAGATCTTTTCAATCCCTGTATTGAATTAATAATCAAATAAATCACATGCTGTTTAAAACAAAAAATAATTAAAACATCACTTTTGTGATATCAAAGGGCATCATACAATGAGGGATTCATTCCTAACAATGACTAATAGTTCTTAAGAAAAAAATTGCACTTCAATTTTAATGAATTGGAAGTACATTTAATATAAATGCTGATATCCCCAAAGCATTCTTTCCATATGAATTTAGGAAAAATTATTTTAAACAATCTTCAAAACATAATACAGGACAAAGGGATCTTTGAAAAACATACAAACAAAAAGGTTAAGAAATTACAAGATGTCATACACACTTGCTTTCCAAAACAGATATACAAAATAATAGTCACCTAAAAAAGCCTTCCCCGAAACCATACATATTGGGAATAAAATATATAATTATAACCACCTGATATGAAATTTCTGAGATTTAAATATATTTGCAACAATAGAAAGATGGTGACAAGATTAACAAAAGCTAAGGACTGTGCCTTAATTAACAACCTTAATTCACATAATTTTGAAATAAGATGTTCAAACTTTAGCTTTATCTTAAATTGTTGCTGCTTACTGCCTTATTAGCCTCCACAAAGTAAATTTAAGAATGTTTAAAACAGAAGATTAAAATAATATCCCTATAAATTTTCTCCTACTTCAAAAAATACAATATAATATCTCCTTCAAAATATTTCTTATAACATTAGAGGGTTCTGAAGTGCTTAATCAAATGCCACTATCACATGAATTCAGTAGAACTGTTACTTAAATATTTAATAAAAAAAATCAAGCTCCATAGATTTATGATACTTATGTGACCACAGATCTCTAAAACCTACAATGTAAAAATATAAAATAAGAGCAATCTGTCTTTGCAAATTAAAACTGGGTAAACTGAGCTATAAAACTAAACATTTTATTCTAACAAGTAATAAATAGGACCTTGAAAGCATATATTTTTTAATTATGGGAACTCCAATTTCAACCTATAGTTTTAAGCCATATACATATATTCTGTGATAATGTAGAAATGAATATTTAGATAACTATATTTCAAACTACAGTGAACTACATATATAATTTTTTAAAATCTTTTTGACAGGGCCCGGCATGATAGCCTAGTGGCTAAACTCCTCGCCTTGTATCCGTTGGGATTCCATGTGGGTGCCAGATCATATTCAAGCTGCTCCACTTTCCATCCAGCTACCTGCTTGTGGCATGAGAAAGCAGTAGAGAATGACCCAAAGCATTGGGACCCTACACTTGAGTGGTTGAAACAGAAGAAGCCCCCGGCTTCTGGCTTCAAATTGGGCTGAGTTCCAGCCATTGTGGCCACTTGGGGAGTGAACCAGGAGACAGAAGATCTTGTTCTCTGTCTCTCCTTCTCTGTGGATATGCTTTTCCAATAAAAATAAATAAGTCTTAAAAAAATCTGACAGTTTAATTTTTTGTTCTAATTTTCACTCTGAAAAACTGAACTAAACTCAGATTCCTACACATAACATCAAGAGAAATGGATAGGAAAAATTAGAATAGAGTAATTGCATCTAACAATTGAGACTAATAAGCTGCGCTTTGAAAGAGTGACTTTTTATCATCTTCTTAACATTATGAATGTACTTTTTACACTATACAAAAGGGATGCCGTAAATGGCATTTTCTGAAATCTTGATACTAAAATTTCTTTAAAAAAAAAAATACACAGTATTCATACTGCATGCTTGAGCTGCAAAGAATAGAATTACAGTATGATGTGACTTGTCAACAAATCTGACAAGCACTGGGGCTGGCACCAGGAAAGAGCTATCTCCCTTCAATATCCAGTCATGTGGAAGTACAGATCACATAGTTTCATTAGCTACAAAAAATTCCCACATTACATATGCCATATACTATTGCATAATCCAAGCATGTATACTCAAAAAATATCAAACATCTATGAAATTTTAATTTCTATCTAATGCGCTTATCTATATCAACCCCCATTCACACTCTGAATTCCCAACAATTCTAATAACATATATTTTAAATAATGTGCAATGACTTATAAAACTACTGCAAGTTATTTACTTCTCTGTGAGCTGGCTAACACAAATGCTGGTAAGCAGCTTTCCGGTAATCTTAGAGAACATGTGTCATGTTTTCACAGATTAACTAGCTACTGCTGCCCTTCTGTTGCTGTAAATGAAGTTTCAAAATGAGTTCTCGAATATCTTCTCGTTTGGTCTTTATAACATGACGAGGAAACCATTTCTCCAAATGAATTGGAATTTCAAAGTTAACAATAGGATCCTAATGAGAAAAAAGAAAGAATACAATCACTTAATTCAGTATAAGTTTGTCTTCATTACATTTTTACAGAAAATAAGAAACTTTCACCTTTTCCAAAATGCTTTATTAACATATATTTGACATGCCATAGCATTCACCTAAAGCATACAACTCTGTAACTCTTAGTAGAACCACAGTTATGTAACGATCACAAAAATCACTGTTAGGGCATTTTCATTAAATTGTACACTACAGTTCTGATCAAATTATTTAGTCTCTGTCACAGAACACATAAGTTCATTAACTCAAATAGAATTGGCAGTTAGAGAAGAACTCAGAAATTAGTTAGTTGAACACTATTTTTTCCATATGTTACTTCTCTTAAGTTACTAAAGCAAAAAGAAAGCCCTAACAGTAAATAAGGCATCTTAAATATTCAAAATGGGAAATCACGCAAAAGTATAAGAAAAATCTGTTAATGGTTTCGAGAACTGCCACATTTTCCATTATGCTAAGTTTAACCAGGAAATAAAAAATTCCAACTGTATAAACATTCCTCCTCCCCATATTAAAAAAATGCTGAAGAATGACATCTGTACATCATGCTTATAAATGCCATGAAGTATTTATACCTTGAAGAAGGAATTAAGAGCTCCTGAGTGTAAGCCTAAAAGAATGACCGGACTATGATTCTAGGAGCAAATCCCAATAGGATTTACCATCTTCTATCTTTATTAGAATTAATATTTGTTTCTATTAGGGTTTAGTTATAAAGCACCATAGATTTCTGTGTGGTCTGTACCATGACTATTTTTTTTTTTTACAAATTATTTTATTTATTTGAAAGAGCTAGCAGTCAGAGATGAGGGACAGAAAGAAAAAGGTCTTCCATTCCCCAAATGGTCCCAAAAGTCAGGGCTGGGCCAGGCTGAAACCAGAAGGTAAGAACTCCATCAAGGACTCACATGGACGGCAGGGGCCCAGGGACTTGAGCCAGCTCTGCTATCGTCCTAGATACATTAGCAAAGAGCTGTGCAGCAGCCAGAATTCAATCAGTACTCCAAAATGGAAGGACAGTGCTGCAAGCTGTGGCTTAACTCACTGCATCACAGCACCAACACCCACAAGATAATTATTTTCTGGGTCCAGCATGGTGCAAAGTGGCTAAAGTCCTCGCCTTGAACAGACCGGCATCCCATATGGGCACTGGTTCTAATCCCGGCAGCCTTGCGTCTCATCCTGCTCCCTGCTTGTGGCCTAGGAAAGCAGTTGAGGATGGCCAAAACCTTGGGACCTTGCACCCATGTGGGAGACCTGGAGGAAGTTCCTGGCTCCTGGCTTCGGATTGGCACAGCACTGGCAATCGCAAACACTTGGGGAGTGAATGATAGGCAGGAAGATCTTCCTCTCTGTCTCTCTTCCTCTCTGTATATCTGACTTCGCAATAAAAACAGAATAAATGTTTAAAAAAAAAAAAGATAATTCTTTTCCTCTAAACTGTATTAGTATGCAAATTTTCAAAACTCAAGGTTTAGGCTTTTAAAGTTTTGTTCTTCCAGGAATCTTCCAGGAGTGTTTAATTCTATATTAGAATTATACCTACTGTCAAAGACTGTATCAAGTAGAATTATGTAACAGATTCAAAACATATAATATATTCTGTCAAATATTCTAAGCACAAAATTAAATATATTTGGAAAGCAATATTACATTAAAGTATATTTAGAAAAGAGTATTAGAGAACCAGGATTGTCACATTAAGTTTTGTCATGCATAGTCCCAGTGTGGAACAAAAAAAAATGTGGGGACTGGGGGGACAGGGGAATTAACATAACAATTATCTAATGGCTTCTTCTATGTTTATAAAGTTTTACTATACAGACACATCCTTCACTTAAAAAAAAACACACACCAAAAACACTGTAACCTCATATTATAACTCGCAGCCTAGACAATACTTTCAAGCATTCTCCAAACAGATAACTGCTCAAAACCATCTTCCTCCAATAGATCATTAACAATACTGGTAATGATTGAATTAGTGGGTTGTTTGTGTAAAAATAAACAGTGATTCTTGCCATTTTAAAGTTTCTTCTTTAACACTGCTACAGTTTCCATAGGATCTTGTGAGCTAGACAACAACTGCAAAGCTTGTCACTGTCCATTAAACAGGTCTTTAAGTTTTTGAAAACCGTCTAGAATCACTGTGCCTCTCCTATTCTTTTTCTCTCCAGCGCTACTGGAATTCTCATGACATATGAATTAGACCTTTTCACTGGTTTTCCACTTATTGCTTCACTCTGCTCCCTTTACACTCTTTTTTTCTCTTTAAGTTATAGTTGGATATTCACTATTGTGATTTCTTTAAATCTACTAATTTTGTCTTCTGTTTAATCCAGTCTGTTATGAAACCAATCCAGTACATTCTTTTCTTCAGATATATCATTATATATTTTCAGTTCTAAAATGCCCAATGAATCTTTGTATTCCCTCAGTTAACCCATTTCAATCACCTTTGGTTCTATTAATGATTCTGCTTTGCTTTTGTTCTGTTTTGTTCTGTTTTGTTTTGCTTTTCCTGCTTGGAATATTCATAACAATTTTCTGCTTCTTGGTCCAGTAACCTCTGCTTGTATGATAGCAATTATGATCACAAAACTTATTTATATTGTCACATACCTTAAAAAAGCTTTCCACATATTGCAGCAAATACACTCCACAGTCACTACTATTATCCTGTTTAGGAACTTTAGGGCATAGGTCCATCATACTTGTTTTACTGAATTCACGATGAGTTTTTCGCTTAACTTCCCACTCTACTTCTAAATACCTGAAATTACCAATAAATACGCATACAATTCCTTATCAGAATGCAGCACTTTCACAAAAGCAGAAAAATGTTTGCTGTCAGATATGTTATTCTCAAGCCAACTTTCCAAAGACTGACCTGTAATAGGTCAAACTATATTTTGACAGACTTCATCAGTGTCACTTGAAAGAAAACAATATGATCTCCAAACTAAACATCAGATTTTAACATCTCAAATACATAAAATAATTTATACTACAAAGTAAATTAACTGTGAGGAGTGACTCGAACATCAGCCCTGAAGACCTGCACAATTTTGGGCTCGGTACCCCTAGCTCTCAGCTTCCTTAAGATTGAGGTACCCTTTAGATTCAAATGTATCCACTAATATACTATAACTTCATGGCACCATACCTGACAGCCCTCTCTACCAACCCCCTACCCAGCTGATAGCCTCCCAGTCATCACCCAACACGACACCTACCAAACCCCTGTGGCCCCAACAGTCCGATCCATCAATCCTTCCTGGCCCTGTGACACCCACCCTGGTCACAAAAATTCATACTCCCGTGCATGCTGCCCTTCCTCTCCTCCTCCTTTGTCTTGCTCCACCCTCTCCCCTTCCCTTGGAGTCCTGTCAATAATGCAGGCACACTCCCTTTCTTTCCTAAATAAATGATACTTTGCAAGCAGTTTGTCCGCTTGAAAATCCTTCTTTTATGTGAGACAAGAAACTAGGTTGTTGCCATGATTCACACTGTTTAGCACCTAAATATCCTACAGTATGAGGTTTCTGCTTGTGGCGTCAAAATGAAAAGAGCTTATACCAAAAAAAGCTAAGTTGAAAACACCTAACCCTAACAAATTATTTTAAGACTTTCATTGCTGGTTTTGTTGATGCTCTATAGTAAAACACTAATGTTAGCCCAGAGGGCTCAGGGGCAGGCAGGAAGCCCAGAGGTGGCACCAAAAGTTCCCACCAAGAACATCCATCCAGGACTCCTTTAAGTGGAGCCAACCAATCGGACAACACATACCTTCATCACCACTATCTAAGGAATTTGTGGCTCAGCACAGGTGCGACTTCAGCAGTCCATTACTTTCACTACATTGCAGACCAATAAATCTTGCCTGGCAGCAGTTCTTAATAAACCTACTTTTACCATAATTCTGGTATCAGTAGTCCTGTTGTTTCAGTGCTGTTTTTATCTAACAACTAACAAATTATTTAAAAGTTTTACTGTTGGCTTTGTTGATGCATTAAATTACAAAATTGCATGCACACATGTATTTGTACATGCATGCACATTTAATAACATGAATACAAAAAACGGTCTTTTTCTGAAGTTATACTTCTGATAGTGACAAAATCTACAAAAAAATCCTTTGTGACGTTCTGCTTTTCACTCAATTATAAACATAAACTCTGAATCTAGCCTTGATGTAAGTCACTGGAAACATTAATCCTTACACAGTAACACATAATTAATTATTTTATAACTACACTGATAGGCTTCATTTAAATAAAAAGTAAATTACAACTCATATAGCTTTTAAAGTTATCCTTAAAGTAACTTAAATATTAGTGAAATTTTATGTAACAGACCAAAGGGTAAAAGTATTATTACTTACTCCCGTAAATTCTGAACTGTGTTTTGTATAGAAGCAGCTTTCAAGGAGTCTAGTATGAGAATACATGGCCTATGTAAATGAAAAACAAAAATCAAGATGTAGATACTTGTATACAATGTATACCTAAATATATCAACAACACTATCTTGTTATTATGATAGCATGTACCTACCTTTTACACCTTTTCTTAGGTACTAACATATTCATCTTGGTGGTCTGGAAAAACAAATATTTATAACTGCAATTAAAATTAGTTTGGGTAAATTCACATTCAGTTATTTCTTAAGATGCTTCAACTTTGAAATTAAATTTCAATTTCAAATAAAAGTTCTTTCCATCCTCTGAAGTGACTTACAGTTTTTCACAAACACATTGATTTATTTTCGTTTTCAAGCAAAAAAAGTAGTTAATAAGTTTATATATAGGTTACCTCCAATAATTATGGAACTTCAAATTGACCTAAAAAACAATCTAAACTTCCATTCACAGTTGTCATCTTAAACAGATAAACACATTAACTAAACCAGTTTTTGCATACATCGTCTGACTTTATGATAAGAGCAGATAATAATCTATATGAAGAGGAAAGAGTTTGGAGATTTGATTATTTCTATTAATATTTGTTTATGTTTACAAATTTGAGAAACCACAAATCAAACTTAACCAGATTTCATTAATGCAACCTTTCTCATCATTTCTTCTATTCCATTATACACAGTAAGCACTATGACTAGTACACAGAGTCTGCCCAAATGAACTGACCATTCTAGAATCCTTTTAACATAAATTGCATGCAGTATTCAAAGGAACCCAATTTAGGAGAATCAAGATGGCAGAATAGGGTAAGGACATGTTTAAACAGACAGAGAAACATTTAATCAGGCTGAAGCAGAGAGGACATATTCCAGGAAATAGGAGAGGACAGAATAAAAGCAGAGGGGTACCTAGAGACCGACAGACACAGGGGAGCAGCAGACACAAAGTTGTGGTGTTGCAGTGACTCATACCGCAGCAAGATTCAACTATCAGCGATCTCCACCAGCAGCCGGAACTCTACCAGCAACCAGGTGGGAAAGGACTTTCACTGGGTGCTTGGGAAGTGAACCCAGTCAAAGAACTGTCTGTCCTGCTGGCACATTTCATTTGACCAGCACCAGAGACAGAGCAGCAGATCCCCTGCAAAGGAGCAAAACCCTATGCCAACCTCAGAGTTAACTGAGGAAGACATCAAGAATATGGGAGACACAGAATTCAGAAAACTAATTTTAAAGCTTCTGATCAACAATGAGAAGCTCATGCAGAAGTTCAAAGAATTTAAGGAATATTTTACACAGGTAATAGGAGCAATAAAGCAAATCAAGGCTGATATATCAGAAATTAAGAACACGGCAGTAGAGCAAATTAAAAGCACAGTGGAGAGTCTCCAAAAGAGAATGCAGCAAGCAGAAGAAAGAATCTCAGAATTGGCAGGTATCTCCTGTCACCAGGGGGAGCAAACAAAAAGCTGGAAGCAGAGCTGGATCAGGCCAAAATTGAAAGACACTATTAAGAGGCCCAATATAAGAGTTATGGGAGTCCTGGAAGGTGCAGAAAGAGAAACTGGTTTTACAGATATATTTAATGAAATAATAAGGGAAAATTTCCCTAATCTGGAGAAAGAATTGGGAAACAAGATCCAGGAGGGGCAAAAAACTCCCAACAGGCTTGATCAAAAGCGATCTTACCAAGACACATGATCATCAGACTCTCTTCAATAGAACATAAGGAAAAGATCCTGAAATGTGCACGTGAAAAAAATCAATTGACATATAAAGGAATGCCAATTAAGCTCACAGGAGATCTCTCACAGGAAACTCTACAGGCAAGAAGAATGAAGCTACATATTCCAGATCCTAATAGAAAAAAATTGTCAGCCTAGATAACATATCCAGCAAAGCTTTCTTTTGTCTTTGAAAATGAAATAAAATTCTTCCAGAGTAAAGAAAAGCTAAAAGAATTTGCCTCTTCCAAACCTGCTCTACAAATGATACTTCAGGATGTTCTCTTGACAGAGAAGAGCAATAGCACCTACCAAAGCCAAAGGCAAACGAGAAGAACATCCCAGTACAATGACAACAGAAGACTAAACCAATTAACAACCCTTTCCCAAAATGACAGGACAAAATTACCACCCATTCATATTAACCCTGAATGTAAATGGCTTAAACTCAATCAAACGTCATAGATTAGTAGACTGGATTGAAAAACAAAACCCATCTGTTTATTGTCTGGAGGAGACACACTTCAACAAAGATCAACAGAAATTATATCACTATGGGGTTTTTTTTGTTTGTTTTCTGTTAGTTTCATCTTTCCAAAACACTTTCTTCTGATTAAATCATTCAGTGACTCATAGATCATGCAGTAGCTTCATTTTCTGCAAGTAGGTTCTTGATTTTCGTTTCTTCAGCTACACGTCAGTCATTTAGTAGTATGTTATTTAACGTCATGGTGTTGTTAATTTCTTTTTTCTCCCTGATGTTGATTTTGTTTTGTGGCTCTTCATTTAAGGGAATGTATAGTAGCTGTGTAATGGAAACTGTCATATCTAGTAACACATCATTTAACATCATGGCATTGTAAATTTCTATTTTTCTTTCTATTGTTGATTTTGTATTATGACTTTTCATTTGAGGGGATGTACAGTAGCTGTGAAATGGAGACTAACATCCAGATGTGAGGATGCAGTGTAGTATACATTTCTACTTCCTGACAAAGATGGATTTACAATGAAACTGTTTACTATATCTTAACAATAGGATGCTGGACTCTCAGCCATTGTCCATGCCCGCAATGATGGACATATGACTGTGTATGAAAAACTATACTTTAGTAATGATATAGAGGAACTAGGTGCAGGGGCGGGGGGGTTAGGGCAAGAATAAAGGAAATCCCAGGGTTTATGGAACTGTATTATCATAAAATGATAATAATAATAATTAAAATATGTAAATAAGAAAAAAAGGAACCCAATTTGACAAATGGCCTTTGTAGTAAGGAGGCAACTCCTATTCTACCACAGTGACAGAAAAAGAAACCTCCTCCCCGCCCACTCTAGAGATGGAATAATAAAGACTAGTGCCAGGGTATCTGCTGCTTTCTCCACACCCCAGAAGTCACTAGCTACTTCCCTTGATCAGCATCAGTATCTGGACTACACATACCAGTGGTGCTTCACATAAAGAAAAGTTAACAGTAGTTATTTTAGTCTCAAGAGTCACATGGATTGACCCTGAGTCTATTTGAATGATCTTTACTGATAATTTAAAACAAAATGAGGTGAAATATGTTTGTTATTATTATTAATTGTACTAGGTTCAAGTTCAAAAGTTTCTGAAATAAGAACAAAAGCAAACCTTACAGGAGACATAGAAAAGTATCTAATCAATATGACAATCAATAAACTACAAAATAACAAATTTTGGAAGTTAAAACCAGTTAAAAAGACACAAGAATAACTTATTTTCCTTCCCAGCCTCAGAAAATTGTCAAAGAATCATGAGTCAGTACAGTTGCTAGGCCACGGACTGCCATCACTTTCCACCTACCTATGCTATCTAGGGCAGTTATAACACTGTTCATAGCTGCAAAAAAACACTTACATGAGAATCCTCTGTGCTCGGCGGTAGTGCCAATGTTGAATGCTGATCATTATCTAATAAGAAATGAAGATGGGATTGTGAGTTTCTAACATATATTTACTAGAGCTAATTAGATAAATATAAATTAAAAATTGTATGCATAGTGGTAAGTTAAGAAATTTAAAAATACTTGGAATATATTTAATTTTTAAGAGTAATATTATGAATAAAATTTAATCCATGGATGAAAATGATACTGTTTAGTTATTATCCTATAACAAATAAACACCCATAGCCAAGACCTGTAATAGCAGCTAGCTGTGCCAGTTTTCTATAAAAAGATCCAACTAAAACTTGTTAGTCAAAACACATGACTAGTTATAGTTCTTCTAACTATGACCAGAGAGTTTTACATAAGTTCTTCTGTGAATCTGTGAGAGAATTTTAAAAAACTGAAAATTATTAGTTGCTTTCTCAATTTTTCTTTCTTCCTCCCAAGGTTCTTTGCCAATAATAGCTGTAATGGCTACTCTTAATTCTGTTTGCTGCTTAGGCTTACAGAGCTGTAACACACTTAATGTTGCTACATTTTTCTTAAAGTAGGCTTCTTTGTCTACTTAATTAAGATTTTGGATTGTAATAAAAAATTATGGGAAAATTATGAACTACTAGAGTCTATAAGAACTATGTTCAATTACATTTAAATATAAGGGAACAGATGCTTGGTACAGTATCTAGTGTCTCATGAGCCCCCCCTCCACGTTCGCATCAGAATGCCTGGAACCTAGTTTCAGCCCCACTTCCAATTCCAGATTCCTACTAAGGTACACCCTGTGAGGCGGGAGGTGCTGGCTCCAGGTTTTGGGTCCCTCCCACCCACCTGGAGATCTTAATTAGATTCTATCTCCTGGTTTTAGCCTGACCTAAACTCATCTTTCGTGGGCATTTAGAGATGAAGCAGCAAATGGGAGATCATCATTGGTTTTTCTGCATTTCTGTCTTACAAAGATAGTCAATAAAAATTTTTTTAAAAAGGGTATTTCAAGCCATGCCAAAAAATCTATCACATAAATTCTTAGTCATATTAGCAAAACTGTATCATAAAGAACTACAATAAACCCTAAATAGCAGTATAACATAAGAATATTATTTTGTCCATACATGAGACTCGTTGTCTGCTCTTAAAGTTTTAGATTTATACTCCGTTCTAGGAAGTTGAATGATAATAACTATACGACCTTGAACTTCATACTAATCTCTGTCATGATTTTACTATTGCCTTCATTATTTAAAAAGATGATAATAACATCAACACTAAAAGCATTACCTACTGCTTTGTTGTCACATTGGGATTGCTGAGCCTGGGCCTGCTGGGAATCAGTTTGTGGATAATCTTCATACACAGCTTCTTCTAACCATGGAAAACAAATGACTGCAAGATACCAGTGAGACCTGTTGGGAAAGAAGTGCAATTTTAATAATACGCAAAATTTGCACAATATAGGAAAATGTCCTATAGCTACACCAGGAAAAGTGGTTATAATGCCTTTTACATTGATTTTAACATCTACTGTAATATTTAATATATAGCATACATTCCAAAACTGACTAATTATCCATAGTCACCAAGGAATAAGAAACACGACTAAAGGTACAAAGTGATTAACTGTTATTTTCAAATGAGAATCTGTTTTAATAAAAGACAGACTCATCACATTACCTTTTTTGTGTAGAGTTTAAAGGGTTTGTTCTCTTAAATACATGAACAATACCCTTAAATTGTGTCTGTGTATATGTGAGTAAATGCATGCATGCGCCTGTTATTTAGGCAATATTTTCTAGAATAAAAAAAAAAAAACATTTAACTCAATGCAGTCTTGTATTATTTGGCATTTAATTTTTGCACTCAATTTACAACATAATGGTTGTTAAATCCAAACCCAGATTTTTTAACTAAGCACTCTGACAGCGGCTTTTACAGGAAAAACTGTGATATCTTGGACATAGGTAGGTTTTTACTGATTATTAATCTAAAAAACCGCAAAATATTTTTGTGGGCCCACTATAATTTATTTTTAATGTCACACTAAATTGTATATATTCAACGTAGTAGAAATGTAGTAATGTATATAATACGTAACAACCAGATTAGAGTAGCCTGCATATCCATCCCTTCAAGCATTTATTTCTTTAGTGTTAGTAATGTCCAAACTCCTAATTTTCAATGTTCTTTAGCATAGAAGGGTAATTACAGTTAACTACAATTAACTGCATATTCCAATCCATTTTTAAGTAATATAGATTACTCACGATTCATTTACAGGTACAAAGATATAATCTTTATTAAAAATATTTATATGACGGGTCCATGTTCTTACTCTTTTGTGTCTTCTCTGTGCCATTCTGGAAATATGAAAGATATCCAGATAATGTCTTTAATAATTAGTTCCATACACTGAAAAATGCTGCTTTAATTTATTTAAACATCTATTTCAATATATAACATTTAAAACAGAAATATGGTCACTTTCAGAAAATTCCTTTTTCTTTAAAATTTCATTATCTACAAACTATAAAGAAATAGAATAAGCATTGTAACTTATTAAATATTTTGTAGATTCTAAAAATAGCTCAGCAACTGAGTATAAACACATCTTAAATATTTTACTTAGTTCTATCTGGGCATGATATAAAAGATTATTAAACACACAGATGTTTAATGTTACATTTATAAAGAGAGAAAGGTTAAAACTCATTAGAAGAGGAGACATAAAACATTCATTGTTAAAATTCATCTCCTTAATCTCCTTTTTTTATAAGTAGGAAACTAAAAATAATCAAGTTAAAGCATATCCACTCTTCATCATCTTTTACTTCTTCAACAAATATATATATTATGTTCCTACAGATAGATAATGAACACCAACTATCTTACATTGTCCTAAAAGAATTTATATTTTTACGAAGGCATAAAAACTACAGCATATACACATAGGTATCATAGGGGATACAAAGCAGCCATGGTAAAATATTTAGGATAGTCACATAGAAGATGATTGGCATACAAATATACACACAAAAACAGAGAGAAACACAAGTCCCCTGTCTCCCTGCTTTACGTAGATAAGGGAGTTAAGGAAGGAAGATGGCAAACTAAGTTTGATTGCCAAAGGCTTTAGAAAGAAAACAGAATTCAACAAGAACATAAGGGAAGTGGTATGTGACTTCTGGCTACCACTATGGGGGTTCGGGGGCAACAATGAAAACCAATTACATACTGAGTAATGTGGGAAATGGACATTTATGCCTGATTCCAGTTCATCTAAATAATATCTAATTAAAACTCTAGCAGAAAAATATTAGGTAGGTTAGGATTCAATAAGATCTATAAGTATAGAGCTTAAAAATGTAGTAAGAATTAGGTACTGTGTGAAAGATTAACTACACAAAATAATAATTTTTGGCATATCTATTGAATTTTCCCATTTCAGAACAACCTGACAAATAATTATTTTCAACTAGTTTGCACTCTGTTAATTTGCTTTGTCATTGGAAACTTTTAAGGAGAGAATCTAGATTTCTCTGAAGTCTTAATGTTATTTCTTAGCATACAGCCCCCAATCATTCTAACCTTATTTGATTCAGAATATATTAGATGAAGTTGGAGTGAAAAGGAAATCCTGAATCCTCAACAAAGTGTCTGACAGTTCTCTTGGTATATGTTAATATGCATTATTATCACCATCTTTTGTTTGAGTTCCTACCATATCTCAAACACTGGAAAAAGTAACAGGGATAGGGTGGAAAATAACACATATGTGAATTCATTAATCTTAAGATAAAAAATAGAAAATACGCATATAAATAAAATGATTAGAGATCCTCTCAAAAATGAAAAAGTACTATTGAAGAAATCTCTGACACGATAAAGGGAAGAACTAAGAAATGGAAGAAAATTAAAAGAGGTAAATTGAAACACAATGAATGAAGGGAAAAAATACTGCCAGGTGAATTCAGCGCCACAGAGATCAGATTCTGCAGGGTCCCACAGACCATGATTGTAAGGTTTAATCACTCAACCCATTCTCAACACTACTAGTTTATTAAAAAATATTATATGTAGTCACTTATCTCTTGCTCCTTTGCATCTGAATTATCTTTTACTGATTTCTAAGAATTCTTTGTGATAATACTAATGCTTGGATTGATATGTCAGCCTGTGTGAATACCAATGCTTGATCTGATGTGTGTAGGAAAATGTGTATAACACTGTGCCTATTTTCCATAGCATAGACACGCAAGTATTTTTACCACATATATATTTTTATTTTTATTATTTATATATATTTGGCTATTTAATTTAAAAACTAGTCGTATGAAAAAACCTTAGTTTATGGATAGGTTTGTATCTTAAGTTCACAGTACTTACACTGAATAATCTTAGAACAAAATGTGAAATTATGTTAATGATATCAACTGCCAACCTGCATACATACAAAATAGAATAGCAGGGCATTATAACTGCTAGTTATCAAGTTAACTGATAATCAGCTTTCATATACCCTTCTATAATAACTGATTATCAGGGATATTTTTAAATTGTAATTTTATTTATTTTTTTAAAAATTTATTTATTTTGATTGCAAAGTCAGACACATAGACAGAAGAAGAAACAGAGAGGAAGATCTTCCTTCTAACAGTTCACTCCTCAAGTGATGCAACAGGCCGGAGCTGAGCCAATCCAAAGCCAGGAGCCAGGAGCCTCCTCCAGGTCTCCCACGCGGGAGCAAGGTCCCAAGGCTTTGCCCCATCCTCAACTGCTTTCCCAGGTCATAAGCAGAGAGCTGAATGGGAAGCAGGGCTCCCAGGATCAGAACTGGTGCCCACATGGATGCCGGTGCATTTATGGCAAGGACTTAAGCCACTAGGCCACCTTGTCGGGCCTGTAATTTTCTTTTTAATTTATTGTGGTAAGCCTTAGCCATCAGCACAAATTCCAAATCAATAAAAGAAAAAAATTGGAATATTTACATAAATCCAACCTACAAATTGTAAATTAGTAAATAAATGTTTATACTTTTTCATGAGTCTACTCAGAGTATGGTACAAATGGTTAGACATAAGGACAGGGTGTAAAATTCCAAGCTGCAACAATTATGTAAGTTGCTTTGGTCTAACAGTAATTCTATTTTCCTTTATCCTTTCCCTATTTACTATGAACCAAAAAGTACTTGGCCAGAAATTCACCCAATCCTTCTGTCTCTCCTTCCCTCTATAAATCTTTTTTTCCAGTAAAAAATAAATAAAGGCTTAAAACGGATCAGTGTGATGGCTCAATTAGCTAATGCTCCACCTGTAAACACCAGCATCCCATTTGAACACCAGTTCATGCTCCACTTCCCACCTAGTTCCCTGATTTAGGCCTGGGAAAGCAGTGAAGAACAGCTCAAAACCTTAGGACTCTGTACCCATGTGGGAGACCCAGAGGAAGCTCCTGGTTCCTGGCTTTGGATTGGCTCACCTTCAACCACTGCAGTCATTTGTAGAGTCAACAAGTGCATGGAAGATCTTTCTCCCTCTGTCTTTCCTCTTTGTAAATCTGCCTTTCCAACAAAAATAAATATTTTAAAAGAAATTCAGCCAAATTATACAAATATTCCATTTTGTATAATTTATTATATTAATTAAATATTTTTATTTAATTAATACTAAATATTAGTATGCTGATGAGGTTACAGACAGAAAAAAACTTCCATATATCTATAAAACATGGAAAGTAATGCAAGGAGGGCCTGGCAGGATGGCCTACTGGCTAAAGTCCTCTCCTTGAATGCGCCAAGATCCCATATGGGCACCGGTTCTAATCCCGGCAGCTCCACTTCCCATCCAGCTCCCTGCTTGTAGCCTGGGAAAGCAGTCGAGGACGGCCCAAAGCCTTGGGACTTTGCACCCGTGTGGGAGACCTGGAAGAAGTTGCTGGATCCTGGCTCCGGATACTTGTAGCACCGGCTGTTGCGCTCACTTAGGGAGTGAATCATCGGAGGGAGGATCTTCCTCCCTGCCTCTCCTCTTCTCTATATATCTGACTTTCCAGTAAAGATAAAAGAAATCCTGAAAGAAAGAAATCCTGAAAGAAAGATATCCAGAAAGAAAGGAAGGAAGGAAGGAAGGAAGGAAGGAAGGAAGGAAGGAAGGAAGGAAGGAAGGAAGGAAGGAAGGAAGGAAGGAAGGAAGGAAGGAAGGAAGGAAGGAAGGAAGGAAGGAAGGAAGAAAGAAAGAAAGAAAGAAAGAAAGAAAGAAAGAAAGAAAGAAAGAAAGAAAGAAAGAAAGAAAGACTTGCAAAGAAATGCAAGGAAATGGCCACTGAGGTGACAGGAAAGATTAACAAAAAATCAGTCCAAGTGGGGCGAGCGAGTTAAGTGGTTGCGTGGACGCGGCTCTGGGACTGGTAGCGCTTGCATGAATGTCCAACTGACTGAAAAGCAGATTGCAGAATTCAAAGCAGCTTTTTCACTATTTGACAAGGATGATGATGCAACCATAAAAACAAAGGAGTTGGGAGCTGTGATGAGGTCTCTTGGGCAGAATCCCACAAAAGCAGAGCTGCAGGACATGATTAATGCAGTAGATCCCGATGATAATGGAACAACTGACTTCCCTGAATTTCTGACAATGATGGCAAGAAAAATAAAAGACAGACAGTGAAGAAGAAATTAGAGAAGCATTCCATGTGTTTGATAAGGATGGCAAACTTGGGAGAGAAGCTGACAGATGAAGAGGCTAATAAAATGATCAGGGAAGCAGATATCGATGGTGATGGTTAAGTAAATTATGAAGAGTTCGTACAAATGATGACAGCAAAGTGAAGAGGTTGCACAGAATGTGTTAAATTCCTTGTGCAAAATTATTTGCCTTTTCTTTGTTTGTAACTTATATGTAAAAGGTTTCCCCTACTGTCAAAAAAAAAAAAAGGTATGCATGTATAGTAATTAGGACTTCATTCCTCTATGTTTTCTTCTCTTATCTTATTGTCATTGTCCTGAAACCTTATTTCAGAAACTGATCAAGTAACATGTTGCATGTGGCTTATGCCCTTCTGCACATCTAAACTTAGATGGAGTTGGTCAAATGAGGAAACATCTGGGTTATGCCTCTTTTTTAAGTAGTTTTCTTTAGGAACTGTCAGCATGCTGCTGTTGAAGTATGGAGTTGTAACTCTGCATGGATTATGGACAGTCAACAATATGTACTTAAAAGTTGTACTATTGCAAAACGGGTGTATTATCCAGGTATTTGTACACTATTTTTCTGTACTGCTGATCCTATACCAGAAATATTTTCTTTTAATGCTACTTACTTTTTAACCTTTGTTTAGCCACTTAAAGAAAATCTGCTTATGGCACAATTTGCGTCAAACCATTCCAAGTTGTATATTTGAATGCCAATTAAAAAATTACAATCTTCCCTCCACCCAAAAAACAGAAAAGGAGACAGTGAGGCAACCAGAGATTAGCCCATCAGAAACTGCTATCCCTCTAAATGGAAGGAAGAAGTATCTCCAGACAGATGAAAGCTGGAGCTCTAGCATATCAGACAAGGACCAACAGGGCTACTGCCAGAATCACTGCCCAATACCAAGACAGAAGAGAGAAATAACCTGACTTCCTTCTTCCTTGCCCTCTAATTCCCAGTGTTCTCCTCAGTTCACATAACTGAAAACGCAGGTGACAGGCTCCCTGTCACAGGAAGCAGAACCATGAGACAGGGAAACGGTTCTCATGGTAAACAGGCCCGTGACCCACACAACTGATAAAACCGTCCAGAGCAGAAAACACTGTTTTAAAAAAGCCATCAAAAATAGTACGTTTTCTCTTAAAACTTCAGTATGTTAGAGAATTGACTTACGAAAGATTTGGATTATCTTCTGTTAAACTATTTTCCTTTCTTGTCAAGCATTTATAGAAAAAGCTACTAAAGATATGACTTCGTTCAACAAGTTCATCTGATGCTTTCTCCATTATAAGATACCTGTAAAGAAGCAATCCCACAGTTAATTAATTTTAGATTTTACCTGGTCTTTCCTCAATTATCTTACACATTCTGGAAATTTTCATTTTCATAACCAATTACATTCAACAAAATCTTACAGCTTCTTCTGATTCAAACCTTTCCATTTGCTCTTTAGCTACCTCACTTTCTATCAATACTATTTTAAACAGAAAATGCTCTCTTGCTCATTTGGTAGGTTAATAAATATTTACCAAATACCTAACACAAACCAAACATTGATCTTGACAAAGCTTATAAACCAGAGGAGTGAGAATGGAAGGAAATATTTATCAAATAACCTCATGATTAAATGCAAAAGCAGGGGCCAGTATTGTGTGGTGCAGCAGGCTTGAGCTGCTGCCTGTGATGCTGAAATCCCACAAGGGTGCATGTTTCAGATTCAACTGCTAATTTGCTTAGGAAAAGAGTGGAGACAGTCCAACGTCTTGAGCTCCTTTATTCAAACAGCAAATCTGAAAGAAGCTCTGGGCTCCTGACTTTAGCCTGGCACCACCATTTGGAAAGAAAACAAATACTTGAAAGATTGGGCGGGGGGGGAGGAGCACGTGTGTGTGTGTGAGTGTGTGTGCACGCACAACTCTCATATCAAATAAATAAGCTTCTTTAAAAAGCAAATGTAGTGCCCGCACAGTAGCCTAGTGGCTAAAGTTCTTCCCTTGCATGTGCCTGGATCCTATATGGTTGCCAGTCAGTATTCCAACTTCTCCACTTTTAGGAAGTAAAACTACCAACTAATGTCAGGATCAATTAGCATTATACTTACTTAAGGTAAAAGTCAATGATTACATCATTAAGAAACTCTCCTTCTTCCAAACACTCCAGATCTTCACTAGTTACTCCTAATCCCCCCTTGGTAGGTGGTGGAGGATACACAATCAACCTTAAAAAGAAAAAGTAAACTTATAAGACTGGTTCTGACAATTCAATATCTAAGAGATAGCTCTTTTTTTTTACCTTTTATTATTATTGCTATCATTTTATGCTACATTTCCATATTCCCTTATCCCCTCCCCAATTTCTCCCCTCCCCCCACCTAGTTCCTTTATATCATTACTAACATATAGTTCTTCGTACTCAGTCATATGTCCATCATTGCATTCATGGACAATGGCAGAGAGTCCAGAATCCTATTGTCAAAATATACTAAATAGTTTCATTGTAAGTCCATCTTTGTGTGGAAACAGAAATGAATAACACAATGCATCCTCACATCTGGATATTAGACTCTATTTCTGCTACTGTATATCCCCTCAAATGAAAAGTCATGATACAAAATTAGCAATAGAAAGAAAAATAGAAATTTACAATGCCATGAAGTTAAATAACATGTTTCTAGATATGACAGTTTCCATTTCACAACTGCTATACATTCCCTTAAATGAAAAGGCACGCTACAAAATCAACAATAGAAAGAAAAAAAGAAATTTACAATGTCATGAAGTAAAATACCATGTTACTAGAATGACAGTCTCCATTTCACAGCTACTATACATTCCCTTAAATGAAGAGCCACAAAACAAAATCAACATCAGGGAGAAAAAAGAAATTAACAACACCATGACGTTAAATAACATACTACTAAATGACTGACGTGTAGCTGAAGAAACGAAAATCAAGAACCTACTTGCAGAAAATGAAGCTACTGCATGATCTATGAGTCACTGAATGATTTAATCAGAAGAAAGTGTTTTGGAGAGATGAAACTAACAGAAAACAAAAAGAAAAACATGTGATATAGTTTCTGTTGATCTTTGTTGAAGTATGTCTCCTCCAGACAACAGATGGGTTTTGTTTTTCAATCCAGTCTACTAATCTATGACGTTTGATTGAGTTTAAGCCATTTACATTCAGGGTTAATATGAATGGGTGGTAATTTTGTCCTGTCATTTTGGGTTGTTAATTGGTTTAGTCTTCTGTTGTCATTGTACTGGGATGTTCTTCTCGTTTGCCTTTGGCTTTGGTAGGTGCTATTGCTCTTCTCTGTCAAGAGAACATCCTGAAGTATCATTTGTAGAGCAGGTTTGGAAGAGGCAAATTCTTTTAGCTTTTCTTTACTCTGGAAGAATTTTATTTCATTTTCAAAGACAAAAGAAAGCTTTGCTGGATATGTTATCTAGGCTGACAATTTTTTTCTATTAGGATCTGGAATATGTAGCTTCATTCTTCTTGCCTGTAGAGTTTCCTGTGAGAGATCTCCTGTGAGCTTAATTGGCATTCCTTTATATGTCAATTGATTTTTTTCACGTGCACATTTCAGGATCTTTTCCTTATTTTCTATTGAAGAGAGTCTGATGATCATGTGTCTTGGTAAGATCGCTTTTGATCAAGCCTGTTGGGAGTTTTTTGCCCCTCCTAGATCTTGTTTCCCAATTCTTTCTCCAGATTAGGGAAATTTTCCCTTATTATTTCATTAAATATATCTGTAAAACCAGTTTCTCTTTCTGCACCTTCCAGGACTCCCATAACTCTTATATTGGGCCTCTTAATAGTGTCTTTCAATTTTGGCCTGATCCAGCTCTGCTTCCAGCTTTTTGTTTGCTCCCCCTGGTGACAGGAAATATCTTCCAATTCTGAGATTCTTTCTTCTGCTTGCTTCATTCTCTTTTGGAGACTCTCCACTGTGCTTTTAATTTGCTCTACTGCTGTGTTCTTAATTTCTGATGTATCCGCCTTGAGCTGATTTACTGCTTCCTTAAATTCTTTGAACTTCTGCATGAGCTTCTCATTGTTGATAGGAATCTTTTTTTTGTAAAGATTTATTTTTTTTTTATTTGGAAAGGTGGATATATAGAGAGAGGAGAGACAGAGAGGAAGATCTTTCATCTGATAATTCACTCCCCAAGTGAGCGCAATGGCCGATGCTATGCCGGTCAGAAGCCAGGAGCCTCTTTCGGGTCTTCTGCGCAGATGTAGGGTCCCAAAGGTTTGGGCCATCCTTGACTGCTTTCCCAGGCCACAGGCAGGGAGCTGGTAGGGAAGCAGGGCCACCGGAATTAGAACCGGCGTAATATGGGATCCCGGGCATGCAAGGCAAGGCTGCGCCACCGCGCCGGGCCCCGATCAGAATCTTTAAAATGAGTCTTAAGGATTCTCTATCTCCCATTTTCTTGATGTCTTCCTCAGTTAACTCTGAGGTTGGCATAGGGTTTTGCTCCTTTGCAGGGGAGTTTTTAGTAATATTCTTTGTGTTTGTCTCTTCTTTTGCTCTTGATCATTGTGCTTGTTGTTAGCAGAGTCTTCTCCTTGGGGTAGGTTTCTAAGCTCTGTCACCCACAGCTCTACAATGCGATTTTACTAGGGCAGTTGGTACACAACTCTTTGCTTGCAGCCACTTGCGCCACTACCTCCAGCGAGTTCCAGGCCTGGGTTCTAATGTCAGATTTCCACTGTGCTCTCCACAACCCCTGCTCCTGGATCTCCACTCTCCACCTCCAGTGATACCATGCTGAGGCTGCACTGTTGTATCTGCAACCTTTCCTCCCACTTCCAGTTGGAGCAGGTCCCAGGATTAGAGAGACACTGGGTGTCCTATCTAGTTAGGTTGTTGGTGGTACTGGTCATATCGGAACCTGATGGACATTAGGTCTGGGTGCCAAATGGACCTATTTTGACCTATACGATGCCATAGTCAGTATTATTTTCCTGCAAGACCAGTGCAATCCACATAACTCAGTGAGTTCTTACGAGCTCAGCAAGGGGAAGTTCACTGATGTCCTCTGCAGACCTAAAGCTTTTGCCACAGTGTACAAAATGACACCTGATTACCACTACTAGAGTTCTCGATCTGCTGGCCATCAGGTCTGAGGACTACCCAGACCTGTTTTGGGTGGAACCTTTAGAATGCCACATTGATGCAATTCACTGAGTGAGAAATGAGTTCACTCCCAGCTCAGCGTATGCTCAGTTCTTTCCCTTGCCTTTGCCTCCTTACGCAAAATGGTGCCCAATTCAGCTCTAGGGGGCTGACTGGGCTATGAAATTCACCCTGTTCTTGCTCTGCTCATCTGGGATCTGCTGCTCTGTCTCTGCTGCTGGTCAAATCAAATGGGCCAGCAGGACAGACAGTTATTTGTCTGGGTTCACTTCCCAAGCACCCAGTGAAAGTCCTTTCCCACTTGGTTGCTGGTAGAGTTCCGGCTGCTGGTGGAGTTCAGATCGCTGATAGTTGAATCTTGCTGTGGTATGAGTCACTGCAACACCACAACTTTGTGTCTGCTGCCTCCTGTGTTTGTCAGTCTCCAGGTACCCTCTGCTGTTATTCTGTCCTTTCCTATTTCCTGAAATATATCCTCTCTGTCTCATACTGATTAAATGTTTCTCTGTCTGTTTATTTTATTTTTTTTAAGGATTTATTTTTATTATTTTTTCATTGGAAAGGCGGATATACAGAGAGGAGAGACAGAGAGGAAGATCTTCCGTCCGATGATTCACTCCCCAAGTGAGCGCAATGGCTGGTGCTATGCCGATCTGAAGCCAGGAGCCTCTTCTGGGTCTCCCACAGGGTGCAGGTTCCCAAAGCTTTGGGCCGTCCTCGACTGCTTTCCCAGGCCACAGGCAGGGAGCTGGAAGGGAAGCAGGGCTGCCGGGATTAGAACCGGCGCCCATATGGGATCCCGGGCGTGCTAGGCGAGGACCTTTAACAACTTGCGCCACCACGCCGGACCCTCTCTGTCTGTTTAAACGTGTTCTTACCCTATTCTGTCACCTTGATTCCCTCTTAAGAGATATCTTAAATGAAGCAGTAACTACACTGTAGTATTGTATAACTAATATCTGCAGAATAAAAACCACCTGACACAACACAAACAATTATGCTTTCTAATAATTTTCACAAGCTAGTACTGACACTCTCGTTGAATGTTATCTTTTCCTTTCTAATCCTTCCCTTGTGGACTAACCTCAACAGAATAACATCTCAATACCTATCTGTATTATTTATCTACTCAGTAGATTTAATCACACAATCAGTTTACCTAAGGATATCTCACTTCTGCATAATTTTTACCTTTTAACAGTTTGTTTAAACAAACTGATGCAAAATCCAGGTTTTTCTATGTTGTACTTTCCAAATCTATTTTGAACCCTCAAGAGAAAATGCTTTACATTCAAAAAGGCTAGCACAAGGTGAGTATTTGGCATATCTATTAAGACATTGGTTGGGGCTCTGCACCACGGCCTAGTGGCTAAAGTCCTCACCTTGAATGCCCCGGGATCCCATATAGGCGCCAGTTCTGGTCCTGGCAGCCCTGCTTCCCATCCAGCTCCCTGCTTGTGGCCTGGGAAGGCAGTCGAGGACGGCCCAAGACCCTGGGACTCTGCTCCTGCATGGGAGACCTGGAAGGACTTCCTGGTTCCCGGCTTCGGATTGGCACAGCTCTGGCCGTTGCAGCTCACTTAGGGAGTGAATCATCAGATGAGAGATCTTCCTCTCTGTCTCTCCTCCTCTCTGTATGTCTGATTTTGTAATAACAATAAATAAATTTTAGAAAAAAAAAAAAACATTGGTTGATATTCCAACATGATGCTTAATTGGCTAAATCCTCCCCTTGCAAGCGCCAGGATTCCATTTGTACACCGGTTCGTGTATCAGCTGCTCCAATTTCTATCCAGCTCCCTGCTTGTGATCTTGGAAAGCAGTGGAATACCTTGCACTCATGGGTCAGACCGGGAAGAGGCTCCTGGTTTCAGATTGGCTCAGCTTTGGCCATTATAGCCACTTGGAGAGTGAACCAGAGTACAGAAGATACTCCTCTCTCTCTCCTCTTCTCTGTATATTGACTTTCTAATAAAAATAAATAAAATTTTTTTAAGATTTCTAAAATTAAAAAATCAACAGACAAAAAAAGATGCTTTCTTCTTGGTGACTAGTTATACTATACCTGTTATATACTAGTTATATATGGTCACTGGGGAGGCAAATTTCCCATAAGAAAGTATTTACAGTGTTAAACTTATAAGAACAAAATGGAATTCGAAAATTAAATCACAACCAGAAAATAGTACAGTATAGATGACAGTTAATTTTTTATGTAACTTTCTTCTTTCATTTTCTCTGAGAATTTAGAAATAAGACCAGCTATGAATTCCTGGCTATATACTTGAAATAGACAAAGTGGTGCTTGATAACAAATGTAGTCAATAACAATGTTATAACAGATACTACTCCTAGCAGAAAGTTTGGGGACCTCAAGAGTCTTCCAGAAAAAGAGAATGCTCTCTCATCTGTTGGTTCAATCCACAAATGTCTACCACAGCTGGGAGCAGGAGGTAGAGGAGAAGAAAACTGAAGGCAAGCTTAAGGAATTAATTCCCCCTCCCAAAGTGGATGGCAGGAACCCCATTACTTGAGCCATCATTCCTGTCTCTCACAATCCACATCAGCAGATCAGCAGGAAACTGACTGAAGATCCAAGCTAGGAGTCGAACCCTGGCCTTTTGATTGGGGATGTGGGTGCTCCAACAACCTTGAAAATCAAGAAACTTAAAGGCAAAAATATAGTACATTCTATCACATTGGCTTTTATTTTCTTGTACTAAATTTCTACTACTTTTTAGAGACAATCACAGGTAGGTACAGAAATAAGCTCCAATATATAGACTCTGCTTTGCTTTCATGAAAAACATAGAATATGAAAAGAAGCAACTTCTAAAAAGGACCTTGTGAAAAACTGAAAACACCTTAAATTAGGTATACTTTAGTAAATAGTTTCATTTTTCCTATCAGATATCAGATATGGAATATGATCCTAAAACCAGACATTGCCAAATACTTTCACAAATGTTTTGTTCACACTAAACATGGTATTTTAGCTTCCATCTCTGACTTTGTGACATAAAATTACATGAAATGGCACCTACTGCTTTGTAAGTAAACTCCTTTGCTTATCAATTAAAAACATGATTTCTGTTACAAACCATTACCATGAAGCTAAATCCACAACCAAGAAGGTAACCACAAAGCAGCAATTGAAGTTAAAAAAAAAAACTATGTCCACCTAATGAAAATAGGATATGACACGGTACCCACTTCTGAACGGGTCCAGTTGGTCTGACTTCTCGCCATTCTTCATCTGGATTAGATGTGATAGAAAGTGAGTAGCAACCACTACTTTGCTTGTGCAGGACGGTATAGGTAGGTTTGGCAGCATCCATATTTGTGGACTAAGAAACAGCAAAGGAAAAGATCTCCTTGTAAATATATGAATACAAACATATCAAACTTCAAAAGGACAAAATTAAAACACAGACGTGTGGGAGAGGTTTGTATTAGCAATATGTAAATGGATACATGTATGTACACAAACACATTTTCAGAATTCCTATAAAGAGATTACCAAATAAAACACAGTACTTTTCCCTGTTCTGCAGCGGACACATTACAAGATCCCAATGGATGCCTGAAACCACAGAGAGCATCAAATCATATAACTGAATACCCTTCCCATACTAATTTAGCATTTCATATGGACTGTGGAAGAGGCTCTTTAATTTGACATGTGACAGCAAAAATTGGTGCAAATTTCTTCTTCCTTATTCATATTTTCAGATACAAGATTCTTCCTGTAGGTCTCAGAAACACTAAAACATTATTTACATTTCCTTAATAACTCAAAAACTTCCACCTTGTCACCCAAGGAAGCATGTTATAGCTTTCTTCCAGCATATCCAAATTAACAAGGCTACTTGAAAACAAGCACTGCAATATAGCAAGAGACCACTGGACAACCAAAACTATTAAGTGGCTAACGCATGGGCAATACATATAGGGTGGACACACTGGACAAAAGATAATTCACATTCCAGGTAGGACAGGGCTGGACAACACATGATTTCATCAAGCTATTCAGAAAAACACAAAATTTAAAACACAAATTATTTATTTTTAGAATTTTCAGTTTACTATTTTTAGATCATGGTTGACCATGATTAACTGGAACTGCAAAAGGATGGGTAAGGAGGGAATACTATAGTATCATGATTAAAGGATACTGTGTATAAATGGTCAAAATTTAACTTGTAATGCTATTTACAAATATGAGCTCTAGAGTGAAGAATTCTACAGCTTAAAATAATCAAAACAGGTGAAAATAGTTGAAAAAATGAAATTTAAAATTGAGACAGTTTATAATATAAATTTACTCACTAGAATGAAAAATATCAATTTGTTTATACAATGTGTCTACTGTATAAATTTTTATCACATGCTCAGCCATAGTGAAATTTTAAGCTTCATTTTATGCTAACACAGTTTCTAATGGCTTCAGAACAACTTCGTGTATATATCTGTACATTTGTGCATGTATGTACAAGCCATAACTATTCAATAAACAGTTTTCTTTCTAACAGTATCTGGCAGAAACATACAAGCTACACATAAATAACTCAAAGGAAAGCATAATATATATATAACTATTGTTTCAAAATACTCTTAGACTTGTAGAAGAGCTACTGGAAAACTTAGGTTCTTTTAATCTTAATATTATACACAACTACATTACAATGATGGAAACTAAGAAATTAATATATAATACCACTAACAGAGAAAAGTCTCATTTAATTTGCTTTTTCATCAATACCCTCTTCTGATTCAGCACCTTCCAATTCCTATTTAGTCTTTCATGACCTGAATAAGCTGAATATCAGTCAATTATTTTGTAACTGAGTTTGTTTCACTTTTCTCACAACCAGTTGAAGTCATACATTATTGGTAAGAATACCAGAGAAATTATGTGCCCTAATCAATGCACAATACAAAGGGACACACTATGTTGATAAGTCTTACTAGCAAACGTCGTAATGTTGATAATTCACTTAAGATAATGTTTGCCAGGTTTCTCCACTGAAGGGTTGCTACTTTCCTCTTTGTAAATAATAAATATTTTGAGCAAGAGACTTTGAGAGTATACAGATATCCTTGTTTCTCCTTAAATTTTGATGTTAAACTAAGTGTCCATCAGTGGACCTTGCTTGAAACAACCATAAATACAGAGTAAGTGTCCTTTATTCAAAATGTGTGGAACAAGAAGTATTTCAGCATTTGGAGAGCTATGGATTTTTAAGTATTTTAATAGGCTTTAACCCCCTAGCATCCCTCATCCAAATATCCAAACTTTGAAATGCTAGTTACTTGCACTATATTTGTGTTTATTGTGTTCTAGTACTGGTTTTATATTTTCTTTCTGTTTTCCATATTAGCCAAATTCTTTTCAAAAGAATAATTGTCCTTTAACCATGATTTATTCATTCTCACTATAACTCAATAATCTATAATAGCTTAGAATCTTGAATATTTTATTTATGAGTCATGATAACGTGCTTTTAGTTTTGATTTTGTTCAGCTTTGTCAATGGACTTCTTGGGTTTCTGTGCCCTTTTGACAAAACACAACATTATGAAATCAGCCTAGTATCAATGAGATTTACTTTCCCACCTCTTACTAACATATTAACCATATACTCACCTGGGGTACTGACTTCATCTTCATTGCTTCAGCAGCAGCAACTGATACAGAACAGGTTGAAGTACAATAATAATGAATAAAAGAACTTTCTTTTGAAGAGAGATTCTGAAACAAAGGAAGTGCCTGAACCCAAGACAATGGATAAGAAAGCTCTACTAATCCATTCGTTGTACTAATTTCTGTCATAATCTCTTTCAATTTTGATTCTTCTTTTTGTGAAATAGGATTGTGTATCTCAAGGAAAATGAATTCACTGGATTTTGCTATGAAACAAAAAGAAACACATTTTCTCAATAAAAATGTTAAGGGGTTTTAATTAAATTAATTTAATGATCAATAACAATTAGGCCAGTAGATAACCTATCAAAGTGTTTTGTATGTTAGGCAATATTTCAGACAAATTAATAGCCCCAAATATTCTACTCACAACCTTAAGCCTACACTCACAATGTTTAAACGCCTGTTATACTACACTGCAGAGACTTCACAGTGGTATTCTTTGTGGTTTCTCCAGTGTACAGCAGTTAGTAAGAGCTAGGAAATGCTGTCAATGAATATGTGGCTAAATGATAATTTAGCAACTATTTCTCTAGACTTCTCCATAGACCAAATGCATCAAAGCTATTTCAATTAAAATGCCTCCTTTATTTCCTTTCATCAATCATCATGGCCATAGTCTCAAAAAACACTCTACACTTATAATATATATATATCCTCAAATATAAATGACTTTATGTTTTCCCCTATGTAATATGCATCAATTCATCTTTGCCACGTAATCATGAATTTTCCCACTGGATGAAATTACAACAAAACAAATCATTTTGAAAGTCTAAAATTTAGTTTGCCATGTAACATTTCTAATATGCAAGAGAATGGAAGAAGAAGGTTAAAAAAAACTAATGAGGTAAAAAGCAATCTTACTAAACTGATTTACCTAATTCAAAAACAGACTTATTTAACAAGCTGGAAACTTAACAAAATTGGAAAATAATCAAAACACAAATATGTAGATATATGTTATAGGTACATGCAGAAAAGTATTGAAAATATTCCTGGTTTCACAAGGGATGACACACAAGGAAGTTGAATTTTCTTTTGCAAAAACTAAAGCAAAATTTCTAGATTTTACTTAATTTGGCCACCAATTAACTCTGTCACAGATAATTAAAAAATAAGGGCAAGTAACTCATAAGAAAGATTGCTTAGAATGAGGACAACTGACAAGGCATTTCTTTTTTATTTTGCTTTAGCAATACAGGAACTTTTTCAAGATGAACAACATTTAACATTTTTAAGGTTTTTTATTATAGAAGATAATTTTACTCTGTTGAATAAAATAATTAGGAGAAAATGTTCTGCACTACTAATTTACTTATAAATGAGTGTTTCAAAAAGTTCATCAAAATGGAATTAAAAGGTAAGTATCCTGGAAGACACAAGCATAGTTTTCTCACCTGCACTTCCATAAACTTTCTGAAGATCCACCATACAATATTAAGAGATAAAGTTATTTTTAATTTAATGAACTAATTGCATACTGTGAGATTATTTTAGACAAAATCTACTTTACTTGATGGCCTTTTCCAGTACCTCTGAAATTTAGAAATCATTTTATACTTACATTGCTGGCTTAATACAGAATTTTCTAATTGGATCTGAATCTCTTGAAGGTAATCTGAAGAAACCCAAAGGAAAAGGATAGCATAGCTCCTTTTACTGTGATCATCCTCTTTACTTTTCCACAACCCAAACCTCTTTAAATGTGCAGTATCCAGTAGCAATGAAACCTCATTGAGGGACACTGAAACAAAAGATAACAATTTAAAAATCAATTTATTACATGTATTTAAAAATACATCTCATATACGTTATATGATACATCTTGATATTCTATACTGTTCTAAAATAATTACATGCAAAATTTTAAAAGCTATAGTTTCAGTGCACTTCACTAACTTAGCGGAAATACCCCCAGTATTATTAAAAATTAAAAAAAAAAAATTAGGGCTCAGCATGATAGCATAGTGGTCAAAGTCCTTGCCTTGCACATGCCAGGATCCCATATGGGCACTGGTTCTAATCCCGGTGGCCCTACTTCACATCCAGCTCCCTGCTTGTGACCTAGGAAAGCAGTTGAGGATAGGGCAAAGCCGTGGGACAATGCACCCGCATGGGAGACCCGGAAGAGCTCCTGGCTCCTTGCTTCAAATTGGCGCAGTGCCGGCCTTTGCAGTCACTTGCGGAGTGAACCCTCAGACATAAGATCTTCCTCTCTGTCTCTCCTCCTCTCTGTATATCTGCCTTTCCAATAAAAATAAATAAATCCTTAAAAATCACATCAAAAATTAGAAAGACTTAAACAATTATTTTGCAAATTTTGTCTTTCATACTATATGATTCCAGTACTACACAGAAAAGGAATACTTAGAATTAAATTTTCATAACATAAAAACCTTGTCCATAGAGATTTCTCAGGTAGAATTCTGACTGCAAAAGGGGTTGAGGGTTAGTGTGAAGAAAATGACTATCAATGCAAAAAAAAACTAAGCAGAAAATCATATTCTTATATATCTGTATTTCAATGTTGCTCAATAATATAAATAATATACACCAAGACTCAAATACTGGCAAAGGCAATTTCTTCCCATAGTTCTGTCAAAACATCTGTTCCAGTATAGAGATAATCCACTATCAAAAAATTCTCAAAAATAATATAAGGTTCTGAACAAAGATATTTCTTCTAAATTTTTTCATTTCCAAGTCTCAAAACTTGTAGGCAATCACTTTAAACTACCAGTCTTCCCAGGAGCCTATGGAACTCTACCATAACATGATAATAATAATAAATAAATAAAAGATTTTTAAAAGACCAAATAAAAGAAAATCTGGGAGACTCAAAAAAATGAATATATATTTTAAAAAATAATAAAATAAACTACCAGTCTTTATCTCTTAGTGAGCTAAACGAATCTCCTCAGAGAAGTTTTTGTTGGTTTTGTTTTTTGTTTTTCTGTTTTTAATTCAAAGAAACACAGAAAACACATTTAATCCCAAGTGTTCAGCTTATAGTTAAGACTCAGGTTGAGATACTACACCCCAAACCAGATTATGGCCTGCTCTGGCTTCCTGATTCTAACTCCTTGTTAAGGAAGACCCTGAGAGGCAGTGTTGATGGCTTAAGTGATTGGGTTACTGTCACACAAGTACAAGACCTGGGCTGAATTTCTGGATCTTGTCTTCAGGCTTACCTAGCCCTAACCAAATCTGAGGAATATATCAACAAATGAGAGCTATATATGTGTGCCTCTAAAATAAATTTCTAGAAAATTTTAGAAGATTAAAAGAAAAGAAAGAAATGTAATTCAGTAATATTCCTCCCTGTATTAATTCCTGGAATCTTGACACTCAAAGTATAGACCTCAGGCTATGCCATTAGTATTAACTCAAATGCTGTCACTGATGCTAAGTATCAGATGTCACTCTCTGTCTACTAAATACTAGCTCCCATATGTGAGTAATTTATATAAATATTAAAGTTTGAGAACATTTAACATGCACCAAATACCATATTAATCATTAACCTAAATGTTTCCACAACAGCTATTCTATTTTCCATTTTAAAAGCTATCAATAAAACAAGCATCAAAACAGACTAAATTAGTTAGAGGTGAACACCCTAGAAAAACTGCTCAATATTTCTTCCGCAAGAATCCACTTCTCAACTCTACAGGTATACTTGAAACTCTGTGACAACCTGATTCGGATTGCACTGAGTCTGTGAACTGCTTTTGGTAAAATGGACAATCCAAGAACATGAAAAATTTTTCCAATTTTTGATGTCTTCTTCATTTCTTTCCTTAATATTTTACACTTTCATCAAAGAAATTTCTCACCTCTTTGGTTAAAAATATCCAAAAGTATTTAGACTTTAGCAGTTATTGCTATTGGTACTGACACTATAAGTTCTTTTTTTTTTACCAAAAAAAATCTTATTTCATGAGGAAATATTCATGCTACAAAGTGAAAGTAGAAGATAATACATTATAATGCAGATTTTCCAAAAAATCAGAGCTAAAAATATTCCCCAATATTTTTCTTGAAGATACATTACCAATATTTACTTAATATTTTTCTATATTTTCTATAGTGCATTCATGTAATTTGTATGCATATATACACAAAGAAAAATAAAGATTTTTTATTATTATTTCGTTTTATGACAGTTTCATGGGCTCTGGTATTCCACCAACCCCTCCCCAAACTCTGGCCCCATGTTGAATTCCTCCATGATGTTACAGTAGTAGAGTTAATAACCAGTCATGATTCCTTCATTGCAGGCATGGACCATGTGGAGCATTTTACTGTCCAGGTAAATTCAACAGTTTCATTGGGAGATCATCCTTAGCCTGAAAGTAGAGCTGGCAGAATATCATCCCCTCCAATGAAAAGCCACTACACAACTTCAACAACAGGAAGAAACATGGAAATTTACGATATCATGAAGCTAACTGACATGGTATTGAGTGACCAATATGTTAGAAAATGCAAGTTCTTAACCAAATCCTATAACTACTTCACTGACATCTCAATTTTAGTTTATACACAACCGGCTGCTATAAACCTTAAAATGGTTATATGGTACTATTGTGTCCATTTTCACTTTTATATTTAACAGCTTATAGTACTCAAACATGATTTTTACTGAACTTGGCAAATCTTAGCATAGTCCAAATAGGTTTATAACTCCAAAAAGCCATATGTTAATGATTGAGGAGCAGAACAGTTTTAGGAGGGGTGAGCAGAGAAATCTTCAATACCTTAGTGAGAAGTAACTGATCTTTGTGTCCTACCTTGTAAAGGTTATGTGAGTCCACGTTGACCATTTCCTGTCTGGTTCTAAACTTTCCTTATTGGTCTCTGTCTGTCTATCTTATCTAATTTTGGGGGCTCCGAAGTGACCCTGATGGTCATTGCAAGAGAGGGTAGGGATCCAAAGTTGGACCTGTAAGGACCAGAGAAAGCTCCTCTCGCACATCCCAAAAGAAGCTTACTGTTCTTTTTCTGAGGACTGCTCAGGGCTCCTGGCTGTTGTTCCAATGACATTAGATCCTGTGAGGAAGGATCTGGGCTTCTTCCATCCCATGTGGAAGATCTAATAGGGAATGGTTGACCTCAGTGTTCTCGGCCTACAGGGGCACTAAAATTTCCCCGATCCCCTTGGCAGTTGGGATATAGTCCTTGGTGCCCATATTGACAGTCCTTGCTGCCCATACTGATAGTCCTTGGTGAGGTACCAGAAGTCTCTGGAGTTAGGATACAAGCCTCCTCCTGTCCTCCTGTTCCATTCTGAGGTCCCCTCCTGCTCTGTGCTTATGACCTTCCTTTTAAAAGGCTGTCAGAATCACTCTCGGATACCACTGTATGTCTTAATAGTTTTTGCTAATGTCTAATGCTGATTGGAGTCGGCTGTCTAAAAGTTACCTGTCATAATCCTGACAGATTATACTTAACATCCTCCTCATACACTCTAAGAAGGTGGAAGATTTTTCTCATCTCCCAACCCATTATGGAATAACATAGGGTCTCAATTGTATTTCAGGCTTTTCAGTTATTTGATGCAGATCATAAGCACTCTCTCTCTCACTGATTATTGGTTCATTGGTTACATCACATAATCTTATTGCATGAGATACAGGCTGTTTGAGGGTGTAATAATATTACAATTGACATCATTTCATCTTACATTAAGGCCAACATGGTATCTAACCTTTTGGGATTGGCTCATTTCCCTTAGTATAATGGTTTCCAAGTGGGCCCACTTGGCCACAAAGAAATGCATTTCAGGGTTTTTTCTTTAATAGTTGAGTAGTATTGCATGGAATAGATGAACCATGGCTTGTTTGTTTGTTTATTTATTATACTGAATTATGTGACACAGTTTCATAGGCTTTGGGATTCCCCCAACCCCTTCCTGTGCCCTCCCCCCATGGTGGATTCCTCCACCTTGTTGCAGTAGTACAGTTCAAATTCAGTCAAGATTCTTTCATTGCAAGCATATACCAAGCATAGAGTCCAGCATCTTATTGTCCAGATCAATTCAACGGTTTCTTGGGGAGACAATCACTGGTCTGAAGGTAGAGCTGGCAGAATATCATCCTGATCAACTGGAAGCCCCAGCACAACATCAACAACAATTTACAACATTATGGAATTAATTGACATGGTATTGAGTAACTAATACATTATAAAGTGCAAGTTCTGAACCACATCCTGTGACTACTTCATTGACATTTCAATTATTAGTTTATATACAGCTGGCTTCTATACACCTTAAAATGGCTAAAGGGTACTATTCAGCTGTCTCGTGTCTATTTTCATTTTAGTATTTAGCAGCTTATAGTGTTGAAGCATAATTTTGCTGAACTTGGCAGATTTTAGGACAGTCTAAATTGGCTTATAACTCTAACAAGGCATATGTCAACAGTTGAGGTGAAGAACAGTTTTAGGAAGGGTGTGCGGAGAAATCTTCAATACCTTAGTGAGGAGTAACTAATCTTTGTGTCCTATCTAGCAAGGTATAAGTGAGTCCACGCTGACCATCCTGTCTGGTTCTAAGCTTTCCTTGTTGTTCTCTGTCTATCTATTCTAATTTTTTTGTTGTTTTTAGGGGGGAGGAGTCTCTGGAGCGACCCTGATGGTCACTGCAAGAGAGGGTGGGGATCCAAAGTTGGAATTAAGTAAGGACCAGAGAAAGTTCCTTTCCCAAGTCCCAAAGGAAGTTTACTGTTCTGCTGTTTCTGC